TGCCTGGTCCGCAAACTACGTTTCACAACCAAACAAACGCGAGAAGTGATAGGAAATAACGGAAGACCACACGTGCGTGAGACCGGAGTTCTCGCGCGACACTGAATTTGTTATTAAAAATGATAGCCTACAAATTGTCTGTGCACTGATTTGTAGCGAAAATGGAAAAAAATAATAAACAGTTTATGCAGGAAATGGTTGGGAAGACGAGGGGAGCAAGGACTGTGTTTTGCAAAGAGAGGTGGGGTAAATAAATAATTTTGCACATGTCCTGCTGTTGCTGCTGGTCATGCAAATGTTTGTGCTTTTGTTTCTGTTTGATATAATTGTAAACATAGGCCTATCTATTAAAATACTGATATTCTGGACTATAACTCCTCCTCCTCCTCCCTGTATCTTGCTCTCTCGTTGGCTGTCGGTCATCGCCGATGTAGTTTTCAGTCAGAACACATTCACACAGCAGGATTGTGAATCGCCGACAGGTCCAGATATTTAGCATGCCAAATATCTCACGGGCGTCGGCGACTCGTCGGCGATTCTCTCAGATCGCGTCTTTGCTCATTCACACTGCGTGATTGTCACTCGCGTGAACGAGCGCCGATTTGCCTGTGATTTCGGGCATTTGTCGGCGATTTCTCAAAACCTGTCGGCGAGCCAAAATCGGGGCTAAAATCGTGCAGTCTGAACTCGGCATTAGGGTGAGTAATTAATAACTTAATTTTCATTTTTGGGTGAACTATCCCTTTAATAATTAATAATTAATCATTTTAGCATGAAACGCGCTGATGAAGTGTGATGTTTGTTTTAATTTAATTTATTATTTAAGTTATCGCAGCATTGAGGAAAAACTTTAAGCAAAGTATAAGCAAAAATAATAAAAAACAAGATAAGACTAAACTGCACAATTGAACACTCTTATTGCACATCATAAAATTGTTCATATTAGTTTGCTATAACAAAGGCACTGGCATATTAAAAGTGTGATTTAAAACAGACCTATTTTGAATGGTTTTATGGTTCAGTGTTTTAAGACAGGCTTCCCCCTGATAAATATGAAAAAGTGATTTGGCCTTAGGAACACCTGAGAACAAATCGGAATAATCCATCTTCTGCAGAAGAAAAGCAGAGAAATGTGATATGGGTGTCTGAGGGCAAAGACAAAGCGCTCAGAAGTTGGTTGAGCAATAATTTCTGGTGTCAGACATTGAAGACAATAATAGGTGATTCAGTCTGAGTAATGAACTTATAGCACAGGTGTTGTCATCACCTGGAAGGATAACGTTGATTTAATTAACATCAGCCGTGGATGCCAAAAGAGTGTTTGCACGAGAAATGCTTTTAGTTCTCAAACAACAGCTCATCTGTTAGGAAACAACAGTCAAAATGTACTATTTCTGCCGGCATTAAACCAAAGTAGCCTATTTTACAATGAACTCTTCAAAACACATGATGAAACCGTGCCAAGGAAATGAAGCAAAATAGTGTCTCATTTTGCATCCACTATAGAGTTTAGTTCCCTCCTGGACTACCAGCTGCATCTGTTGATGTATCTTCAAGTCACTTCATCTTGTCAGTTACATATAAAACCAGATGGAAACCACCCCGGGGACGTGGCCCTGCTAATTCAATTAGACAGGCCTCAGCCGTAGCCCCAGATATAGGCAGTCAGCGGACACCCTGAAAAATGGCAGATTCATCCCCACTGCCACCCTGAAGGCTTAGGGCCCATGATTGATCAGACATTGATTTGATTTGAAGTGAGAGTGAAGAGCACTTTCCTGGGCTCTAAGTAAGAGGTCTGAACAAGATTTCCCTTGTCAAATCGTTTGCGTCTTGTGAAGTGACTTTGGCTGTGAACAATAGGGGCTTACAGTTGTGCAATTTGAGCACGATTCAAAACACATTGCTGCGAGTGAGTCAGAACAGAAGATTGTGACATTTTGAGAATTGTACAGAATCAACATCTGTCTACACTTAAATCAAGAATTCTGTTAATTTTCAGGCCATCTAGAGGTGTCATGCAACCCAAACTGCCTTTTAAACAAAATACTGGCATGTTTTTCTATTTGAGATATTCGCCAAATGTGATAATACACATGCCGACTAGAGGCCTGTTCACACCAAAGACAATACACTGTAAAAAAAAAAAAATAATAATAAAAAAAAAAAAATAATAATTTTTAAGTGCAATCAACTTGGATATTTAAGTCATTTCAATGTAAATTATTAAACTGACTAAAAAAATAGTTGAATCTTGTATAACTTATCAAAATAAGTTAAGCAATTTTCAACTTATTTTATGAGTTAAAGCCATATAAAAACATATGTTGTCAAATATGTTTTTACAGTGTAACTATAATGATAAAAATAAAGATATCATTATAAAAATCATTATAAATTTAAAGAATAGCAGAGTCACGACACCTATAACAATAATGAGGAACGATATCATTGAAATCACTTGAAAACCTTTTTTTTTTTCAGCCGACGAATGATAAAAACATTGACAGCCAATAAGTATCCATCCTGCTTTAAAAGGTCATGCATTTAAAGCGGATGACAGAACTGTGTGCTTATAATAAACAGAACGTCGTTGTGTGTTGGTGGACGCTAATTGTTATAGTTATCATTCTTGGTGTGAATTAATGGGCCTTAACTTGTAATCTAACTTTTGTGGTTACTCAAAACACTGTTAAAATGTCAAATTAAAACTGTTTAATTTTGTTATGACTGCCTTCGAGGGGGTTCGAGCCTTAAATGACACTTTGTTAAATGGGAACAAACAATATCAGGATTATATTTTGGCTACTTCACAGCAATGCTTTCAGTTTTGCTGTCTGGATCCTGTCGTCAACTGGTTTTATCGGTGAAGACATCTTAGTATTAACAAGTCATAACAGGAAAAAAGGGAAACTGTGGCGTGAAATACAATACAAAATAAACCAAGGGCCGTTACTTACAAAAAACATTCTGGGAGTAAGATTCCCTGTCTGTCCACAGAAAAAGTGGTCTGTCCACAGTTTAGCCTCTGTTTGGTCCTCTGTTTACCTTTCTTAAAACACAAAGCCTCATGGGAATCTCCTTTCAGTTTCAGACTTTCATACTTTAACCCTTTGATGCACAACATGGGTCTAAATAGACCCGACTGAGTTTTCATTTTCTATATCTTTGGAAGAAATTAATTTCATCATTCAGTATTCCAGGTATTCCTCAATTAACTTGTTTTAGATCATTACAAATCCTTATTTAAATTGTTCCTTTCTTACTTTTCGAATAAAAATCGTTTTTTTTGTGTCACTACCCTTCTAATGCGCAACATGGGTCTAAAAAGACCCGTATTCATGTTTCTTTGCTGAATATTTGAAAGAAATGTATTTTATCATTTATTAATCCAGGTATTCATTAAATATCTTGTTTTTGATTTCCACAAATCATTATATTTATTTTTTCTTTCTTACTTTATAAACAAACACGGTTTTTGTATTTCTACATCAATTTTACACACATGGGTCAAAAATGACCCATATAGGAACCTTTAATGTTTATAAATAGTATAAATATATTTACTGCAGAAAACTATTCACCTACCACGCATTTCACAATTCAACACGTCTGCTTTTGTATATTTCATGCATGTAAGTTTTATTTAATACATTTTTTGTCACAGAAAATATTTGATATTTTGTGAAAGACATCTAGATATAGCCTAATATTTGAACGTTTAGGCTAAGGTTACCTTGACCTTGAAATCCATTACTAGTGCAAAAGAGAAACATGTCCAATTCTATTAGCTAGCTTGCGGTCGACATATTCTATTTTATCTAGCTAGGTCAACAAAATAAAAGTTGCAATAGAAAGTTATATATATACAAGTATATATTGTCGCTGTTGGGCAGAAACCTTGTACCTCCATATTCATCTTTATTTGTGGTCATAAATCAATGCTATCGGTCACATAAGCCGGCGTGTGGTGGCGTTCTGGTGCACTATGGCTGCTGTCGCATCATCCGGGTGGATGCTGCACATTGGTGGCGGGGAGATCCCCCAGTTGCACTACACTACAGTTCAATTTCAGTGTTATCGGTTATATGTGTGTTATCAGGACAAAGTGGCCAATAAACATATTTCAAGTGTTACAGTAAATGTGTTGATCTAAACAACTGTGACATTGGCTATTTTCACCAAAAGTTTTTTTTATTCTTTTGTTTTTATCACGCTTGCATAGATAGGTCATTTTAGACCCATGTGTGTAAACTCTCTGTATTAACACAAAACCTAGGAAATATTAAAATATGAATTTGTGATAATTGAAAACAAGATATTTTGAATATTCATAAATCATGAAATTTATAGATCATGAAATATTAAATGCTCAAATAAAGTGATTTCAAGAGGTGAAACAAAAACATGCCAAGCCATGCATGAAATAACATAGGAAATGAATACGGGTCTTTTTAGACCCATGTTGTGCATTAGAAGGGGTATCCATAGCTTGCGCATCAAAGTTAAATATACAAATAACAAGGCAGTATTATCTGTTGAAATGAGTCATTTATATAGTGTACACTGAATATAAATGTCAACAGTATAAGGAAAAGAAGTGTGTGTGCATGTTTGTCTCAATGAAAAGTACATAAAAGTAAATATATACAGTAAATATATTCTTTAAATACTTGTATCTGTGAGTACTTGGCCTTGCACAGCAGTCGGGCGTCAGAATTTGGAGTTCAGACAGTAGAAGCCTATAATTATGTCAACAGTTTCATGGTGTGGGCCATCATTATAGCTTACAGCATATGAAATTGAGGAACAAAAACAAGTGATGTTAACAGGTGCTTGTTTTTCCCCTCTCTCTCTCTCTCTCTCTCTCTCTCTCTCTCTCTCTCTCTCTCTCTCTCTCTCTCTCTCTCTCTCTCTCTCTCTCTCTCTCTCTCTCTCTCTCTCTCTCTCTCTCACCTCCAGACAGAGAAAAACTACCATTTGTTTTCAGCTTGCTGCAGGCCATTGCTCTGGTCTCATCTTTCAGGCTTCAAGGAACCAGACCTGGGAGAAGACAGAGTGTGCCGGTATGACTGTGCTGATTATGAGCGCTTTGTTTCTGTCTAGTGTTTCCGAAATATCTACATGTCAGAGCTCTGTATACATGCAGCAGCAGCAGTTAGTGTGAATGTTCTTGATGCATTATGGTGTTCATGTCGGTGATGCAATGTGTCCGTTACTTCACTCTTTACCCAAAAATGTCCACTCTATCTGTCTGAGATTAAAATTATATTATAAAGATTCTAAAAATATATTTTAAAGAATATTTATAATATTTAGTATATGTAATATTTAGTATTTTATTACTGTTTTCCTCAAAAAACATTTCAAATATTCAGTGTTTAATATTTTGGTTTTTTTCTAAAAAATGTAGTACCTTAAGTGACATTAAGTGGATGTGTCAACTCTGCACTTCCTCCTGGCTTTCTATAGAAAGATACAAAATCTTAGATTAAGTTAGAGGATATGATTTTTTGAAGCATTTTTTTTTAACTGAAGCTTCCGCTTCACTCCATCTGGACTGACTATACCTCAAATAGGACTTGACATGAGACTAATAACACAGCAGTAACCTAATAAATAATGAACAACTCTGAAATGCATTGTGGGTGCTCTGAACGCTCATTAGCAGCATGCCTATGACTCTTCCGTTCAGCCATTCATGAGGTCTTATGAGCTGTCATCTGGTGCACCGTCCCTCTTATCTGAGTCAAGTCAAGCAGAATTGAGCGGACCATGTGTTTGATGTGCTCTTTCTCCTCTACTTAAGCCACTCCGGCCATATGGGTGGATTCAGAGCAGGGGACACTTGAAAGGGGGCAAAAGGAGTTGCTCCCCCTCGACCCTTCTGTCACAGATAGGCATCATGCTCTTCTGCTGAATGCACACAATGGGCTCTGTTGACAGACAGGTATATTTGTAAATAAAACAGCTGGTAAGTCAGTCAAAAATGTAGGTTACAATTGATTGTTTTGATTGTTTTGTTATGGAGTGGATTTTTAGGTAATTTCCCTCTGATAGATTAACAGACAAAGAGAAGCTGTACGGTCTTTTTAAGTGAACAATTGCTTGTAAAACAAGCTAACAGGGAACGTTCTGGCTTACATGGAAAGGTTTTCTCAAATATTAAATAAGATGATGCTTTGCCATGGGCCTCAAAAGGGAGAGTAAATGCTAAAATTAAGTGTTGTATCATTTTTTTCTTTTGTGCAAGATTACAGTGTTTCTGAATTGCTAAAACACTAAACCCCATTCTCTGAACCAAATTCTCAATAGCCTAAACCAATTTTTTCGAATAAATCACTCTTTCTGTAAAACATTAAACAAGTTCAGGTAGTTAAAACACTGTTTGCAAATCTCTTGCACTCTTTTTTGCAAAACTCTAAACACATTCTCATTTGCTAAAACACATTTCGCACTGTGATGCACTTATGTTTCAAAAAGCTAAACACAGGCAGGCGAAAGTTAAACACAAATACAACACAGTTGTCATCGTTTACACACAACGACTAAAAATAGTTCACACTTATTTCTAATGATGTGTCCAAACCAACAGTACATAATACAAGTCAGTTCAGAGTGCTAAAATAGACTCAAAATGTTGCACTGAATGTTGATACCAACAATGAAACAATATAAGAGGGAGAGGAGGAAGAGTATGTGTATAAGAGGTGGTGAACGAAGAGGAAGAGGACGAGAAAGAGCAAGGTGTGGAGAATGTTGTCAAGGCTGGATCTGGCTTTAGGGTTTTTCCCTTTGGCTGCAGAGATGACATTGTCTGAGATGTGGAGAAACTCTTCCGGCCGGACCAACATGAAGACATGATGCTGAAGCAGAATGAATCTCTCTCACTGACCTTGATTTTTTTCAGTTGCACAACTATTCTGAGTGTACGGTAACATGCTTTTCATTTAGAATATCTTACTGTAACCTTTTTGGCTTTTGCAGTTGGCTCCCTGTATTTTCACAGTATGCAAGTGCTGAATATACAGACATTCAATACAATATTCAGTACAATACTATACTTACAGTACATAAAATGTATTCACCTTACTACGGTAAGATGTCATTACTATACTTTTTTATGTAATTGCAAAATTTATTTAATTTGTTACAATATACTTTTGTTCTGTAACTAACTGCATGCTGTGGATGCTGTGTTCTCCATTTTTTGATGTAGTGTCTAATGAATGATCTGTAGTGTTTATAATTTTGACTCGCTGTGTGTATGATCTGAAAACCTTGTTTGATTTTGAGCACAGATAAAATGGTTTTGAGGCAATTGTTTTATTTTGCCAGAAGTGTCAGAGGTTTTGAATTTTTTTGGGGGGGGGGGGGGGGGGGTTTGAGATGTAGAGGAGTTCATGGCCAAAGACGACAAACGATTTCAAATGAAATCAGAGCAACCTTAGTAGATCATGTCATCAACCATGGGCTGGCAATGCGTGAGGCTGGACAGAGAGTGCATCCAAACTTGAGCCGTTTTACTAACGCCTCTGTCATACGGACCTTTAGACTGGAGAACAGGTCAAATTTAATGTAGTACACATGTAGTACACCCCATGTCATAGTGTATCAGTTGGGTGACACATGTTTACTTAGTGTATGACATCAGCCATTCATGAACTGCACAAGTTTCCTGTACAATGTACTCTACTGTGGGGGGAAAATATTGAGGCTGCATTGTCCAAGCCCTATATATTTTTTTATTTTATTTTTTCTAAAGGACTGAGAGACGACACCAGGGTGGAGGAAGGGGCCAAATGTTCACGGGGTACAGGAAGCTGGCATTGTAAACTTGGTTTTGGAACATAATGAAATCAGATTACGAGAAATTCAAAGTCACATCATCCAAGACAACACCTTATTCTACAACATTCAACGAGTCAGTCTGTCCTCATTGGCTCGCATTCTCAAGCGAAACCAAATCAGAATGAAATAACTTCATAAGGTGCCGTTTGAGAGAAACTCTCAAAGAAACAAAGAGGTCAGACGAGCATATGTGGATGTAAGTACTATATTGACTTCAGTACACTACACGCAACATTGTTTTCCAGTGTACTGGATAACACCATATTGACTGATTTTTGTACTGGAAATGGATGCTCATGCAATCCCACATGAGTTCATCTTTATAGATGAGGCTGGGTTCAACCTAGCAAAGACCAGAAGAAGGGGGAGAAACGTCATTGGCCACAGAGCCATTATAGATGTTCCTGGCCAACGTGGTGGGAACATCCCAATGTGCGCTGCCATCTCCAGTATGCATGGTGTCCTCCACCGTCATGCCAACCTTGGACCATACAACACAGCCCATATTCTCACATTTCTGGACAGACTTTACAACATTCTCACACCACCAAAGCGTATGAATGATGCATACCATCAAAGAAACCGGTACGTTGTAGTATGGGACAACGTGAGCTTTCATCGTGCAGGCCCCAGTCCAAAACTGGTTTGCTGACCACCCAACATTTCTCGTGCAATACCTCCCACCATACTCACCATTTCTGAACCCCATAGAAGGGTTCTTTTCGGCATGGCAGTGGAAGGTATACGACCGGCAGCCCTTTGTGCGCATGCCTCTTGGAAGGCCATGGAAGAGGCATGTGATGAGATTGATGTGGGTGCAATTCAGGGATGGATAAGGCACTCATGGTGCTTCTTCCCTCGATGTCTGGCAAGGAAAGATATTGCCTGTGATGTTGACGAGGCGTTGTGGCCAGACCTGGCTGTGCGGCAAGATGCTGCCTAATTATTTTTCTTGCCTCTTTTTTTTTTTTACTGTAATTTTACTGTCTTTTTCAGTTTACTGTTTTTGTGTAAGAATATTTTTGTTCAGTCCCATGTAAATATATCTGCTGGGAATATGATGCACTGACTTGTTTACTGTAGTGAAAAATAAAAAATGTTTCAACAGCATGTGTATCTGCAAATATTTCTGTGCATGTGAACAATCTGATACATATTTTAGTATTATGGCAAAGCATACTAAAGATGGGGGTGCTTTTCATTATGCCCAACAGTGTGTAGTTGGTTAGGCAAAAATCTGGTAATATGAATGAAGTGTGTGCCATTTCATGCAAAAGTTTGATTTTGATAATGCTATTTCGGTTGCAGTGCTTCATTTTGCAGGATATATGAGGTATTTTGCAGTTTGGGTGTGTGGTTTTGTGAATTGTGTTAAGTATTTTGATAAAACCAGGCTAGTTTGCAAAATTGTGTGTTAGCAATTGGAAAAAACGAATGTTTTGCTATGCTAATTTTAGAAGAGTTTCTGTTATGTTGGATTTTTTGGGGGTTACCATTTTGGGGTTTTTATAGTTAAACCGATATAATCTGGCTATATATGAGTGACCCACTTCTATAGCCAAAATAACCTTGAATTTGGTTACATGTCGTTTTTCCCCCAAAATAACTTAAGAGATGTATGATATTCCATTATGTCAGTAAAGTCAACAGTGATTACAAGGTGTTGTTACCTAGACATCAGGGCTGTGTTTGGACTGCATTAGACGTCTTTTAAATGCAAAATTATATTAGTTATAGCTATATCTGTTACCACTACTAAAAATGTTTGAGTTTGTATTACATGATAAATTTAAGGTAAACGTAAGATTTGGCAAAATTTAAATACTTCAAGTTAAGAGCAATTAGCGTATTATAGTAAAAAAATAAAAACCTGCAAGTTAACTTTGAATTTCTTCACTTAAAAAAATTGAAGTATCTGATTGCATCAGTTTATTTTGGGTTTATAGTGAAAACTGGGTGTTTTGCAATCTTATGTGGCATACTAACCCATGGTCAGTTTGCTCAGCTTCAGTATTGCAAATTAAACCACAATTTAGTCGTTAGTGAAGGAAGGTAGGAACTTATCATGGAGAAACAGCAAACACCCTTCCCTTCAGACATTTTATCCAAGAAAGGCTTGTGAGACACTTCTGTGGTTTGTTTTGGGCTGTGAGCCAATAATGAATATAAATTTCAAGCAACACCCCAGGGGAAGTGTCACCATTTGAAATTTCATTTTACCCAACCTATTTTTTCCTTTTTCATTACCCCTTCGTTTTCGAAGTAAACTCGTGTCAGGACGTGTGGGCAAAGAAAAGGTGTCAGTGATTTTTTTTTTTCTTAAATGCAAACTGTAGTGCTTCCTGTTGTAAGTCAACACCAAAGACCAGGCAGGCACCCACTCAAAGCACATGGTACAACATGTGACTGCCTGTTCAACATGGTTTCAGTCTCACTCGAGTCACATGTAAACAACATGCAGCAAACCGCCAAAGTGAGAGTCAACATTTCTCATTACACATAATTTATCTGAAAAGTAGTGTTTGATATCGACACCAAACTTTATGAAGGCACATCTCAAGCCTGTCTAACAAATTCTCCAGTGAATAAATTGCCCTCTCCTCTAATTTCAAAGTGCAAAGTCATGACCTAATGCTATAAGAGGAAGAGCTTTCAGAAAGTGAATAAGTCTGCCCACACCCAAGTAGGAAGCGCAAAAAGGTGCCTTTCTTAGATAAGGCAAACCTTTGTCCTTAAAAATGTCCATTGTTCAATCATAAGACTTTCCTTACACAGTCTTTAAAATTACATTAAGACATTTCCTATAAATGTTTCAATGATATGCCATAGGCTTAGAACTGTCAAAGTGCATCTGAATCTCCAAAGTATCAATGTATCAGATGGAAAAGAACTGGATTTTTTTTTTTCCAACACAGTCACACATTCCTAAAGTGAGAAACATTATGATATATGAGTAACGCTATCATTTAGTCATGATAGATGAAACATATTCTGGACTGGAACATGACTAGGCAAATCGTATCATGCCGTTCCCCTGGTTATGTTAAGGAGAGGTGGGTGAAAAATATGCAGAACCCAACCAAAAAGATGCTGGAATGAATTATGCAACACCCATTCAGCATGTAGATCTGTATGCCATATAGCTACCATTACCAAATATCCCAAGGCAGAAACAAAAAGCACCATAGAAAGCATATGGTGTTGATGTATGTTTTCCAGCTCACAACAAGCCCTTTAGCTATTTTATTACGGATCTAAATAATGTGCCATCTGAGAACAGAAATGAGTCTTGAACCTAAAGTTGATCTTAAACAGAGTTTTTAGGGACCTATTATGTTTTGCATAGAGCTACTTAATTAAAATGTATCTAATTAAAATGTAGCTAGCACTTTATTTTCCCCTTGAAATAACTAAAGAGGATCATTATTTTTTTTCCTGCAAATGAATCATTTCTGTACTGTAATCATGTGATATTTACCTGATAAATCTGTATTTAAGAGTAAATTTGACTTTTAAATGTTATAAAAAACCAAACAGGATGACAAAATGCAAATCAACCTACCTACTTATGGTTTTCAATGTCAGATCAAAGCAGAATATAAAAAAAAAATTAAAAAAACAGTCTCCACACAAACAGCTGGGTTGTAATTACTGGAAACCCCCTAGCTGAGAATTTCATGATTAATTATGTATCACTGCATATTTTCCAAAAAGCCCTATCTTATGAACCAGAGCTGATCCTTCAGCCCTCATATTATTATGTATGTGATCCTTTGCAAGCGTGCTGATGGCCATGAATGAGTTGTGGCTGCAAAACAAGCATTGTTTACTCTCTGGAGGCTTTACACATTTCACTCTTTATCTCTGCTGCATTCTTTTACCTTATTTCCATGCTCATTTCCTTGCTCCTTAGCTCCCTTGCCACTCTTCACACTTTATATTTGAATTCTAAACAGCTCGCGGATCCTTTGTATTCATGGGTACAGACGGCGTATACAGACAGATTGTGTTTAGTGCTCTCAGGACAGGGTATCTTATATTTCACAGGGGGGATTCTAGCTCTGGTTTAGCGAAACACATCCTCCTGACCTGACCCTAGCTCATATAATTGAAAGAAAACAAAACATGGAGGCATTGCCAAGTTAATAATTCAGCCTGAAACGACCTGTCAAAACCTGTTTTAACTTCGACAGTGGAGTTGGAGATGCTCACATTTCACATTTCTCTAATTTAACAGATTTTCTTTCATTGAAAATTATATTATCACATAAAATGTTGCATTTATTTCGATAATTTGTTAGATTATTGACCTAAATGTATTAATACCATCTAATACACATTTACAAGATTATTGATCTTAAATATGTACATTACATTACTAGCTACAGTAGCATTACTGTGCAGGCTTTTCATTTCTGATCACTTACAAAATAAAATAAGAATAGAGAGAAAAAAAAACTAGGCATACCTTTGCTGAAAGATTTATATCATCAGCAAAAAGAAAGCTTTAGGCCTTTAAGTGTCTGAACTGTAAGGTATAGGATCAAGCGTTTATTGTTATTGGACAAAGTTACATGATCCTTAAGAAAAAGTGCATAGAAATTCTCTCATGTCATCATCTGTCAGCGAACAACTTTTACATCTACTTGTATTTTTCCTGAGTCACCGTCATTCCATATCCATTTCTCACCAGAGGCCCTGCTGTTGATGTTTCACTGTAACACAATGGATGGAGGAATGCCATCTGTACGGTCCACAGGGCTCTAACTCAAAGATCTGACCTAATGAGAGGACAGACAGACATAACAACAAACACCGAAGAAACATAAGTTGACTGCATGGATGGCAAAGATGTTAGGCCTACTCAAAAATTAAACGAATAAATCACTAAAATAAGAGTCTCATGTTTCAAAGAAATGCGATTCTGTCTGGCTCATATTTAAGTAGAGTCACAGAGAGTTTGGATCTGTCATTAAATGTTAGTCCAGGCATATGATGGAGGTGACTGTGTGACCTTCTTCTTTCATCACTCATGGTTCCTTCAACAATCACAGTTCTACACGAAACAAATTGCAAAGAGGACCAGAGGAGACCTGCCATATAGTAAATCACACTACAAAGACTAAAGCGACCAAGTAACGGCCTTCACACTGTTCTTCACCCAAGTAACACGATGTGATCATAAACAAAACTGCTGGGACGTCTGGGAGGGAATTTTAGGTGGTGGGAAAGTTCACTTCAGTTGATCTGATTAAATGAACATGTAAGGACTAATGTAGAGTCAGATGGTCATAAGCATAATAAACCCTGACAGGGCTTTCAGGACCCCGACACAAAACAGAGTGGCTTGCATTGGCCTTAAGGGAATCACTTTGCGATAACGACCTGCTGACTGAACATTATCCGCCTTGTTACACAGCTACTTAGCAAGTAAATAAATAAATTGTCATAAACATTTAATTTTGATTTAAAATAATAATAATAATTCATTAATTTAAAATAATAATAATAATAAACTTCCTTGTAGTCATTAAAATTATCTATCTATCTATCTGAACTTGTGCATTCATTTTCATTTTCATTTTCATATTTCAATTTTGTTTTGATAGCCCCAAAACTCTGCTATCTTCTGCCAGGCAAGAGTTAAACATGTAGATATTAAGGTTATGTCAATAATAATTAAAGGCACACTATGCAATAATTGCACCTTAATATAACAGCTTCAAAGTCATTTCGGTGGTAAACAAACTCATAGTAGGGCGAATCATCCTGGTAGTGAAGCTTGGGGGGGACGCCGGAAAAACCAGCAATGCAAGTTTGAGAGGAGCGCCCCCGACAAATCTCGCGAGAATCACGACATGCTTTACGGCAACGACGGCACACACATCAACAACAATATATGAAGCACGAAGACACTTGCGCGCATTTCAGACGTGATACTCGACGATGGAAAAAGCAAAGAAAACGCGGTCGGAAGAGACTAGGAAAAGGAAAAGAGAATGAGCCTCTCAACCCGTAAATAAATGCATCGATCCGCAAGTTTTGTTTGAGTTCTTTAATGGTCTAGTGGTAGATCTTTTGCCAAGCGTGTCAGAGGTTACAGGTTCTAAGTTTTTTGTCTCTCATCAAAACTGAATATGTTCATCAGTGGTTACAGTCTGTATCAAGCAGAGACACGTTTTTTGTGCATTTTATTTTGTGATTTCACCGTAATGAATAGAGAGTCTCCGCAACTGCGATAGATTGAAGAGGGCGTCCGAGTGAAGACTGCGCGCGCGCCGCCACAAGAGACACCATGACACTGATAGCAGCGGACACGAGTGCTCAGCTTGAGTTCAAAAACACATTTTAGCGCTAGATCTCTTATTTAAAGCAAAAAATGCACACTATGCAAGATTTGTACCTTAATATAACAGCTTCAAAGGGGTATCAGGCCGTGAGTGCAGAGACCAGTCTATGGCAGACGCTCTGCGTGAGTGGTATTTACGACAGTAACGTTAAATACAAGTACTCCACAGCGACTCTAGGGGTCGCTGTTTGACAAAAACGGAATTCCTGCATAGTGTGTCTCAGCGTGCATTGATACAGTTTTTCTAAATCGCTTTGGCATATTTTTTGAAACAGTCTTAACATTCTCTAAACTGTAAGTGCAATTGTCACAACTGTTTGCTGGAACATCAGAAGTCTATGTCATTTATTTTTATTCTTATAATTACTTTTTATTTGACTAACTGCTTTCTACTATACAAGAATGTCAGTTTTGTCTGTTTATCACACTAAGCATTTTAAATACAGATTCATACAGTAGGTAAAAATTGACTGGGAAAAGTCAATACTGTAGTACACAAAAAGAAAATGAACATTTTGTATTTATAAAGTACATTTATTTTTTTGTAGAAATGTGACATGTAAACGGAAAATTCTCAGTTGCTTGTTCATTTTTACACACTCTATTATGTCTTTCTCTAACACATACATACAATATCTTCTTACATATCTTCCTATTGTTCTTCCATGACAAGAATGTTCAGTTTTCACATTTAAAATAAATGTACTGTAAATATATATATATATATATATATATGTGTGTGATTGATACGATTGTGATTCCTATTCATTACAGTGACGGGCCAATTTAGCAAACGTGTCATACATATTTATGAAATATAACATGTCAGACAGATTTTGATCACTGAATGGTTAATTTTGCATGTGATGGCTCACAGAATGTTTAGAAGTTGTGAAGAGTTTGACAATTTCACTGAGAATCAACTCATCAGTTTTGATGTGCATTAGTCATTGTGCAAATTGTAGACAATACTTACTCTTTTGCACACATGCCAAATCAATAAGTAATCCAATTCTGATGTGAACAAGAAACTAATTGGTCAGAGATCTGAACTTATTGTTTTGAGAGAGAAAAAATAATATGAGAATTGAGCCAAACCGATTGATGAAAAACTGCAATAGGCCACTGCTCACTTGGATGAGGGAGTTTAAAAAAAACAACTGTTTTACTTGAATGAGAGAGCTGCCCTGCCCTGCTGAGCTCCGCCGACGTCATGACCCCGCCTTGTGTAATACAAAGGGGCGTGTCTGACTTTACGGAGGACTATTTAAATGCTGCTGCAGGAGGTCCGTTGACTGAAGTGTGTGGAGAGACTTTTGCGCGGTTTTTGTGCTCACCTGTTTTAACGACATGGACTTTTACGATGTAAGTTGTTTTACTGTAAGACCAATGTAAAAACGCTCTGTAGTCTGATATTTGATTAAATACTTAATAGTAAGGCTTGGTCAGTTGTTTATGTTTATCATGTCTGGTAACCTACATTTTGCTTGTCACGTTTTACTATTCAGGTTTTGTGTGGTTTTAAAACATTTTAAAGCAACTTTTGTTGTATTTTGAAGTTTATAAAATCGGTCATGTGTTTATTTATTTTCTTATATAGCCTATATATTTTCATTGCTACTTTTAATGTCAACAGTCAGATTAATTTATGTGAAATTAATCAATATACTGTTATTTTCTGCAGCACATCATTTTAGACAACAGCACAGACTCCGGGTCTGGGGATTTTGATGATTATGAACTTTGTGACCTTACGGACAACAATGACTTCCCAAAGATCTTCCTCCCTACTGTATATGGGATTATATTTGTCTTGGGAATCATTGGCAATGGACTTGTGGTGCTTGTGATGGGCTTCCAGAAGAAGTCGAAGAACATGACAGACAAGTACAGATTGCACCTCTCCATCGCCGACCTCCTGTTTGTCCTCACTCTGCCCTTTTGGGCTGTGGATGCGGCCAGCGGGTGGCATTTTGGGAGATTTCTGTGCGTCACAGTCAACATGATCTACACTCTGAATTTGTACAGCAGCGTGCTGATCCTGGCCTTCATCAGTCTGGATAGATATCTGGCTGTTGTCCGTGCCACAAACAGCCAGGCCATCAGGAAGCTCCTTGCAAAAAGGGTGATCTACCTTGGAGTTTGGCTCCCGGCGACCCTGCTCACCGTGCCTGATCTGGTCTTCGCCACAGTCCACAATACGGGCATGAATACGATCTGCCAGCTCACCTACCCGCAGCAGGGGAACATGGTGTGGAAGGCTTATTTCCGCTTCCAGCACATCATCTTTGGCTTTCTGCTGCCTGGTCTGATCATTCTAACCTGTTACTGTATCATCATCTCGAAACTGTCCAAGAACTCCAAGGGTCAGGCCCTGAAGAGGAAGGCGCTGAAGACGACCGTCATCCTCATCCTCTGCTTCTTCATCTGCTGGTTGCCTTACTGTGCCGGGATCCTGGTGGACACTCTGGTGGCGCTGAACGTCATATCTCACAGCTGTTTCCTGGAACAGGGTCTGGAGAAATGGATCTTCTTTACTGAGGCACTGGCGTACTTCCACTGCTGTCTCAACCCCATCCTTTATGCTTTCCTGGGAGTCAAGTTCAGTAAATCTGCCCGAAACGCTCTGAGCATCAGCAGTAGATCGAGTCACAAGATGTTGACCAAGAAAAGAGGCCATATATCATCAGTATCTACTGAGTCCGAGTCATCCAGTGTGCTGTCCAGTTAATGGACACTTTTGTACATAAAACTTTCTGACATGGATGACTAAGCTTTCTTTTTTTTTCTTTTTAAAAAAGGACTTTACTACACTTTTTGTACATTGTAAACTCTTTATTGTGTTGTTAATTGTTATTTTGTACGACTTTCTTTTCTGGTGTTTTTATTCAGATATTAAATTAATATTTTTTTAAATGTTAGTACTTTTTACTTAGTACTTTTATTGCAGGGCCTAAAGGCAGAGCCTTGACAAAGTCTGTATGCTTGCAGAAGTTCTTATCAGGAAATGTTGCATAGTCTTTTGTCTGATTCAGAATGCGTAGTGTAAATTATTTGTACATAGTTCATTGTTTGCCAGTGTGTGTGTGTGTGCTGTGCACTTAGCTTTCCTATTTCCCCATAAGCTTTCTGATATTTATTAAAATGGTAGCTCACACTGTAAAAATGTTTAAAGTGTTGTAGAGTTGTAATTGAATCATGTCTCAATTGTTGCATGTTGACTTCTATTTCATAATAAAACATAAAAATCACCACTTTTAATGAGGTCTGACATAGTGTTGTCTTGCATCTCTCAAGTGACCATACACACACACACACACACACCTCCACCCCCAATCTCTCTGTGGGGGTGGGGTTGAGCTGAAGGTCTGTCAAGTTACCAAAACAAAAGCTCCACCTGATCTCCTGCTGAACAGAATGGCTGAGGAGAGGGTCTGTAATTTTAAGAACATCTGTGTTCTTTAGCGTTTTAAGCAACTGCTGATACAAGACACCCATCAACCTACAAAGGGACGGAATTGGCTTTCCCTTGGGATTTCTTGTTGTATCAGATAACAAGCAAAAGAAGTTAATAAGGTAGTTTGAAGATGTAAAGAGTGAAATTATAAAATCTGCAGAATGCACATTTTAATGTCTTTTTTTTTGCTGAGAGAAATAATTACATTTTGAATCTCACAAAACCTTTCAAAAAATGTCCCACAAATCAAAAGGTACAATATTTTATTTGTTTTATATGAGGTTCAAGGCGGTTAAATATTTATCCTCCACTTCTTATTATTGTAACCTATCATGTTTCAGCTTTATTATATACATTATTTTTACTAATGATTGTGATGCGGTAATTTCTGCTAAAAAATACCAACTCTAATTAAAATTTAAATCAGCATAAATTCATGTATACCAAAAAAATCACTTTACATTAATGAGAATAAGGATATTTTTTCATTGAATGAACGGGGTGCTTAATTGTCATGAAAATTATGTCACAATGCAAATATCTTAAAAGCTACTTTTTGTATGCTAAAAACGAAAGAAAAATTCCAATTCCTAAATGATGACAAAAAAAACAACAACTTTTGATGGGAATTGTCTTCTTATTCACCATATTACTGTTAATACTGTATGAACCCAGGCACTTTTGACCTCTGTTTGCAATGCAAAGATATCAGTCATCAAGTTGTGGTCTATTGCTTGATGAATAATAATTAGGTTACAGAAGCAACTTAGCAGCCCTGAAGTACCAGTTCACCATTTACGCAGAACATTGATACTCACAAGGTTTGTATTATAATGACCAAACTCATGTTTAATACAGCAGGTAAATTACCATTTCTAAAGACTCCAATGAGGTGTGAAGTATACCCTGCATCAAGTCTTTAAGGTTTATGGTTATTTTTCACTGTCTACTCTCACAGTAAGAGGCCAGTAAAAATAGAGAATTGGGTGCTGCATTTTGTTCATTTGGAAATGTCCTGGAATGGTTCTGTCATTAGCATGAGAGCTGTTCTCAAAAGCCACGGCACACCATTAACACTCCATTGAGCTCAGCTGGACCATCTCTCCCATCTCTAAACCGCCATTTGAAAGAAACCAACCAAAAGGAGCTTCTGGAAATCTGCTGGGAAAACCCATTATCAAACCCCACTTAACTCAGAGTCAGCGAAACCTCAGTCAAGCACATCACAGGTCAAAAACAGATGTTACCTTCATTCAAACACCCAAAACACACGGAGTCTGTTAAAATTATTCTTTTAAAAGAAAATAATTATGAACAAAATAACTTTTTTTTTCTTTTTCTTTTTTTACAATAATTTTTTGTTTTTTTTTGTTCTATAATACAACTAAATACAACTAACATAAGTGGTTGTCTAACTCAGGAGAAAGGGTGTCTTGATGTTACTGATTGCCTGATTAACACACACACACACACACACACACACACACACACACACACACACACACACACACACACACACACACACACACACACACACACACACACACACAGGCACTGATTGTCTTATTAACACACACGCACGCACGCAGCACGCACGCACACACACACACAAACAGGTTTACATTTTTTGGGGGACTTCCATAGACATAATGTTTTTTATACTGTACAATTAGGCTATTCTATACCCTTAACCATACCAATCACAGAACACTTTCTGTACTTTTACATTGTCAAAACACTTAATTTAGTATGATTTCTAAGCTGATTTCCTCACGGGGACCAAAAAAAAAAAAAAAAGAGACGTTTGGTCCCCATAACGTTGGGAATAGGCTACCAGGTACACACACACACACGCACGCACGCGCGCAGACACACACACACACAGGTTTACATGTTTTTGGGGACTTCCAATAGACATAATGGTTTTTATACTGTACAAATATTCTATCCCCTAACACTAACCATACCAATCACAGAACACTTTCTGCACTTTTACATTTTCAAAACACTTATGATTTGATTTCCTCATGCGGACCAAAAAACAGAGAAGATTTGGTTCCCATAACGTAGTCATACCAGGTACACAGACACACGTACACACGCAACACAGACACGCACGCACACCAGGATCCTATAGATACAGTATATGCACCTATTAACCCCGAACAATAATGTAGTAGAATGTGATTTTTGTTTTATGCTGGACTGGACATCATGTATTATTGCACTTTTATTTTATTTGGACGAACTAAGGATATCTAAAGTGGACAAATTTAAATGAGATCGCGCGCGGTTAAACCAGTAACTAGGAACCTTTTATGTGGAGACGTGTTCTACACGGATTAGCAGGGACGTTGTGAATGTGTAACAGCAAAACACTTCCACCTCTTTTTCACATGTCCTGCGTTCCCAGTGGCTGTCATTGCATATCAACACAGCTGAAATTTTAAATATTCAGCGCTTTTGTTTCACTACACCCGACTGAAGCTGAACTATGACTAAAGAAAATGTACAAGGGTGAGAAAACAATCTCATTGTTTTCGTCGGATGTTAACTATTTGTGGTCATGGCATTTAACGTTATTAGCTTGCCTTGCTGCTAGCTCAGTCTAATAGAGTTGCAGCTGATTGCATCAGCAGTTTAGAGATCTTTAACTATGACAGCTGAATAGTCTCTTTAATGGATGACAATTGGAGTTAGACAAGATATTAGAAATTCTAGATAATCTTTTTGCAACAGTGGTGACTTTTAGCTGTGAAATATCTAGTGTTAATAATTTAGTTGGGGATGTATAGAAGAATAACACTATTCTCCAGTCTTCAGTGTCACACGATCCGTCAGAAATCATTCTAATATGCTGATTTGCTGCTCAAGAAACATTATTGCAGAAAACTGTTGTGCTGCTTAATATTTTTGTGGAAACCGTGATACATTTTCCAGGATTCTTTGATAAATAGAAAGTTCAAAAGAACAGCTTTTATTTGAAATAGAAACCTGCTGTAACATTATAAATGCGTTTGCTTTCACTTTTGACCAATTTAATTTGTCCTTGCTAAATAAAGTATTCATTTCTTTAAAAAAATAAAAAAAATAAAAAAAAATCATACTGACCCCAAACTTTTAAATGGTTGTTTATAATAATAAAAAAATATGAATGTGCAATTTATATAATATGATTTGTTAAAATGCCTCTCTAGTATTTAAGTTGGAAAAATCATAGAAATTAATTCAGTTTTGGAACCCAACATGACCTTTTACTTTTCAGAAAACAAAGTGAAAGTCACATTTCAATTACAAAGTGAAAGTACGAGCTGCAGTTTTAACCGCAGAAATGTAATTGAAAACGGCAAATACATTGATCATTTAATTTTAATTATTAGCAGTTGAATTGTAATTATAGATTATTTCTATAATAATGCTATGCTTTTCCCAAAGCAGTGTTACCTGAACATACTGTTTATGGTTATATAAACCGTAATTTGATGATTCATATGATCACAGTTGCTGTCTGGAGTGGTGTGGAGGGCATCTGAAAGCTCCACCCTTATTTTTATATCCCTGCTCTGCCCCGGGCCTTGTGTTTCTGTGTAAATACATAACCCCAAATCTGGCACAGGCCTTTAATTATCGGCAGCCTTCTCATTCTCTTCTATCTGCCCCAGTGCTTCCAATTTCCTGTGAGCAGAAATTGCAGTGATGCTTTGGTAGGCCGTCATCCGTGAATTCCCTTGAAAACTGGTCATACCTTCACTGTGGCCCTTTACGTCCTTCGCTGCATTACGTGCTAATGCATAATATTGAGGGGGGAGTGGGGTTGTTTATTGCCCACTTTGGCACGGTTAAGGCCTCAGCAGTGCCTGCGGCTGGATCATTGTTGCCTTGTTGGCAGCGGTAGTGCTTGGGAAGACATCCACAGATCCGTTTTGTTTAAACTTCTGCAGCACTGTGTGTGCACAGGCACTTGATCCTGTGTTGCCTGAGGGCTGCCATATGGTCGCCTGCCCAAATTCTGCTGTTTTTAGGGGTGCTTTGTAGATCAGAGTTGGATAAAGAGCAAGACTAGTATGCACTGGATTCATAGTTTCTTTGTTTTGTTCTGTTGTTTGGAGCAATTAGTGTAATAAAAAATGTCTGGAGGTGGAGGATGGGCTTGTCCTGCTCGTGTTGTTGACCACCTGTTACTCTTGTGGTTTCAGGTTAAATGGTGGCATTCATTGCAATGCCATATTTAACATCCATCGAGAGAGAACTGAATTTAAATTTAGCAAATGAGTGATTTGTAACGGGGCGTATTTAAAGTGGTTGGTAAGTCCTGTAAGCCGGGAACCATGTGTTATATGCAGAGAGTTTAAAATGGTAATAGAGATCACAAGGGCATGTCATTTCCATTAGCCTATGCCCTGTGATCAGTTTACGTATTGTTGGGGTTTCAGTGTAATTGTGTTTGTTTTAATAACTGTTGTACTTCTTGGTAATCCATCTCTGCCATATTAACTAATGATGGATGGGTGGAAGTCTTGGTAAATGTTGGACTCACTTGGTTAATGGACTTGGTCAGCCAAGTGTCTGAACTAACCTAATGATGACCCAGGGACTCTTGTTTTAATGCCAATAAGGAAAGTATTTTAAGAGTAATTGATTTAAGTTTTATACCAAGACAAATAGGCTAGTATCTAAATAAGTGCTTTTTAAACAAGCTTGTTTCTTGCCATATCATTTAGAGGAAATAAGCTAGTGTCTGTTATTTTTTTATTGCCAATGCTAATAGAGAACAGAGTGGCCAATGTCCAGTATATGTAATAATAGTGAATGAGATGCCCAGAAAAGTCAAGATGGTTTTTGTGTATTATATATATTCTCAATTTTCTCACATTTTGTCAGCAGAAGATTGGGGGTCTGTTTTTGAAAGTCTCTTATTCACACCAAGGCTGCATTTATTTAATCCAAAACACAGTAAAACAGTCATATTTTGAAATGTTATTACAATTTGTCATCTATTCTATTGTAATATATTTTAAAATGTAATTTATTCCTGTGATGGCAAAGCTGAATTTTCAGCAACATTACTCCAGTCTTCAGTGTCACATGATGCTTCAGAAACCATTCTAATATGCTGATTTGCTGCTCAAGAAACATTTCTTATTATTATCAATGTTGAAAACTGTAGTGCTGCTGATTATTATTTTTTGGAAACCATGATGTTTTTTCAGAAAACAGCATTTATTTTAAATAGAATTGTTTTATACACATAAATGCCTTACTGTTACGTCTGATCAATTTAATGCATCCTTGCTGAATAAAAGTGTTAATTTCTTTAAAACATGTGAATGAAATACCTGACAGTATTAAAATGAATTACCACATATTACCATGTTTTTTGGGCATGTGAGTGCCATGTAAATATATACACTACCGTTCAAAAGTTTGGGGTCAGTGAGAATTTTATTTTTATTTTTTGGAGGAAAGAAATCAATACTTTTATTTATCAAGGAATAATTAATTTGATCGAAAGTGACAGTAAAGACATTTATAATGTTACAAAAGTCTTTTGAACTTCCTATTCATCAAAGAATCCTAAAAAAAAAAAAAAAACTGTACAACTGACAGACCAACAACTGTTTCAACATTGATAATAATAATAAATGTTTCTTGAGCATCAAATCCTCATATTATACTGATTTGTGAAGGATCATTTGACACTGAAGACACTGACACCGGTGATGCTGAAAATTCAGCTTTGATCACAGGAATAAATTACACTTTACTATATATTCACACAGAAAACAGCTGATTTACACTGGAATAATATTTAATACTATAACTGATTTTTGTTGTATTTTTAATCAAATAAGCGCAGCCATGGTTAGCAGAAGAGAATTCTTTTAAAAGTATTTAAAATCGTACCGACCCCAAACTTTTGAACGGTAGTGTATATATCAGTCTGTTGTTACAGTATGGGACAGTCATATCGCGTGAGTGATATTACAGTAGACAGACATCACACTTCCTGTACTGCTATAACTGGACTACCTAGACCACAGGAGCATAAGCAAACATCACTGATGAAAGTTTAATTTAGCCTCTGTTGTTTTTTTGGCCATGCTGCAACAATAGATGAAAGACACAGCAACTTAAAAAGGCAGCGGGACACTGTTGGTTGGAATGCTTTCCGCCCCCATCTATTAGAAAAGCTTCCCGGAAGGAAACTAAAAAAAGGTAGATGGAAGTTTGACAGAGCTGTTTTTTGTTGTCTTCCTGTTTCAGAGCTGGCGAGGAGGAGCAGCAGGCCCAGTCCAAGAAAGGCCTGAAGAAACAGCAGAAGGAAGCAGAGAAAGCAGCGAAGAAGGCAGAGAAACAGGCCAAGCTGGTGAGGCGACACAAACCCTGCCGCTGTTCTGGGCTTCTATTGTTCTGCAAATTCCTGTTCTTACAAATCTGTTTATATATGCTCAAACACAGGGCCGTTTCTGAATGCAGAAAATGTTTCCCCAATATTTTAAACAGTCAAATCAACCATCTGTTATTTCACTTGAAGTGAATGAAATTGAGGCTGTAAGGTACAGAAGTACAGTTTGTTCAATAATGTACTGGCTTTTTAAAATATTTATTTTTAAAATGTATTTTATTAAAGAATTAAATAAAATAACAGTTGTTTACAGAGGGATTGTAGCAAAAAAAATATATTTAAAAAAAAAAAAATATATATATATATATATATATATATATATATATATATATATATATATATATACACGCACACATACACCCAACACACACACGCACACATATATATTTAAATAATAATAAAATAATACATTTAACAAAACAACATATAATAACAAGTATGTATATAAATTAAAACCGTGCAAAGCATCCAAAAATACCCGTGTTCAAATATTGTAATCTTAAAGTCTTGACTAAACAGTTTTTTTGTGGCATTTGTGGAATGTTTTGATGATTAAGTGATTGACACTCAAGTACACAAGATTCATTAAACAAGTCAGAAACAAGCAGAACAAATCATTAAATTAATGCATTGTTTGGAATAATTTACACAGAATCCACTACTGCAAAACTGTAATTTTATTTGAAATTTTAGAACTCTAGTGTACTTGTAGAAATAAGTGTTTTGTGAACTTGCAGAGTTTGCCTTTCTACAGAATAATCAGCATGTGTTTTATCTTGATGTTAGCCCTTACTGAGGAGGGTCTGTTTTCCCTTTACTGTTGAAGTTTTATTGAAATCAGTTCCTCTGTTTGATTCAGGCCGCAGAGCAGCAGGATGCTGATGAGGATGTAAGTACTGTTCACTTATTCTGAATATCACATTTCACATGTTAAAAGACAGTTCAAATAAATCAATATATATATATATATAAAATGAATGGGAACTAGACTTTTTTTATGCACCATAAAAGTGGTCCATATGACTAATTTCTGAAAACATTAGCGCTTTGTTTGAGAAACATACATGCAAGTCATTACTCACTGAATATCTTAACATAACCCTATTTGTTTCTTTAGAGTTTGAACTTTTTCAGTAAATCTGTTGATCCAGTTCACAAAATCAGTCTGAAAGATTTGTTCACGAATTGAACTGATCTTGTTCTCACATTCAACTAATTGATGAACCATGGTCCAATCACCAGGTTCTCAAATTAGCAGCTTACTGGAGTGGATGATTATCAGTATTCAAAATTTGGAATAAATGAACTAATTTTGGTCTGTTTGACTTGGGATAAAGTGCTCATATGGACTTCTTTTATGATACTTTTGTGATACTTTTGCATCTTTCCTGAAACTTGAATGCTTCAGTACCCATTCAAACGTTCTCTTTTGGTGTTTCAAGGAAGAAAGTAAGTCACATGGATTAATGACATGAAGTTGAATAAATGATGACAGAATTAAAAACAAATCTCTGAACTGTCCCTTTAAAATTCATTACCATCCCTGTCTTCTTTTCTCCTTTCAGGACTTTGCCAAGGATCGCTATGGGATCTCTCCTATGGTCCAATCCCAGCAGAAACTGGGTCAGTGTCCTTCTCAGTTTTTAAGTGGAGATTTAGGAGGGCATCTCGCTCCCACAGGATGAAGATAGACAGGTTTTCCTGTGCAAAATTAGCCATAGAATGATAATTAGGAATGTCTTCAAGCTTAAGAGATGATATAAAGCTTTCGGGATCTCCCTGACGTCCCCTTCAGCTCTCCCTGATGTTCCTCCCCTCGCTGTCACACATAATAGTCTTGAATAACAGTATGAGATAAATCTCGGATGAGGAGTTAGGTTGACATCACTCCCAACTGTCCGGCTTCGAGTTTTTAAGCCCTGCTGCTACAGAACAAAGTCGTCTCCCACCAGCATTGCTCTCGGGCAGAGATAGACGAAGCTTTCATGTGGGTGGATTCTGGATCAGCCAAAAGCCTTGAGCACTTTCACTGGGGCTAAGTGGGAACGCCCCGTCTCCGCTGCCTCTTAATAAAGTCAAAATGTGAGTCAGTGGAGGCAGGTTGACACTGGGTTTGTCAAAACGGAGTAGAATTCACGTGATGGTCACCTTTCAGACGGGGCTTGTTATGTTTCATATTTATTAGCCCTCCTCCCGGTGGCTTTGTAATCCGAGTGAATGTCTTTGTGGAGCTCTGTGTACAAGGGGGGAGGCCTGTCGTCTTTGATGTCTTTTCTCTGAGACTGTCTTTCTCTCTCTCCTGGATGGAGGCAGACAGGGCGTTGGTGCGTGTCCAGGACCTGACACCCGAGAAGGCAGAGCAGCAGATCTGGGTGCGTGCCAGAATTCACACCAGCAGAGCTAAAGGTAAGCTCCTCCTCGCTGTTACACAAGCTCATCTGCTGCTGGAAGTGTTGCTCAATTCATTTCAACACGTGGAAGCTGCTCTTACTAAAGCTCAAGGGTTTCATATTTGACATTACTGACATATTATTGCAATTTATAAAAACTTAAAAGTCATTATCATAATGAAAGGTACGGAAAATGGGGTTGTGTCATCTCAAACGGTTGAATATAAAGAAAGATTTGGAACAGCATCCTGCCATACTATGCATGCTGTTGTTAGAGTACACATCATTTATACTGGGAAGGTTCAAAAGTCATATAATACCCTGATGATTTGTGGTGCAGTCACATTTACCTACACAGCAAAATTATGTAATGTGAAATGCAGTCATCTGAACAGGAATCCACTCGATATGGAATTTCAGACGAGGCAAATCATTTCTTCACGCGGATTTTGCATTGGATTAAAATTTTAAATTAAATTTAAACAGGCAAGTCTGAACGGCCACTATAAAGCTGCTTAGTTTGGAAGTGACCTCTGAGTAAGTGGTTCTTCATCCATCGCTACACTGTTGATAATGGACAATGGACTTTCTTTGCCCGTAAAATTTTGTCAACATGACTGCACTTTCCTGCACTTACCAAAATATGAATGTGAATAGTTTCTCAGAATGCACTTTCCATTCTTAGTGCGACAAGTGAACAGGAAGTAATGTCTGCCACTATTATGATCTCTGTATTGATTTATTCAATCAGACTGCCAAAAATTAAGCTATTTTACACAAAATTGAATTAACAATACAAAACAACTTGATAACATGTTGCCACTCACTGAATAAACAAGAGTATTCACTACAATTTATTTTAAACATAGCCATTGTGTACAAACAGCACATTTTCTATACACATGAAATAACCAAATGACCTATTAAAATGGATAAAATGTGAAGTATGCAATTAGAGCACACTACATTCGTTGGCTTGTCATGCCACAGTGGAGTGCACCCAAAATACCCTTCCACTTTGATAGTGTCAGTTTTGAACATGTAGCATACTACTGATTGAAACGTTTATTGTTGCATACTTCTTCATATACTTTTTTTGAAGTATAAAATGCATATGTAATGCACAGCATGCAGTAAGCTATATGTCAGTATTCAACTTCAAATCTAGACTTATTTTATTATGTTCCTCGGTGGATGTAATGCACATTCGCCAAATAATAATCATGATAATCACGATTAAATAATCACGCCAAATAATTTACTATGACAAAAAATAGTTCCCAGGTAATTTTCCACACCCATGATTTATTTATTTTTTTACTTTATTTTTATATAACTTTTCAGAACAAAGACAAACAGTAACATAGTCAACACAGCTTCATGGGTATTTACATGGAAATTATTTAAAAATGTGGCATGTCTTTCCACACCCATGTTTAATGCAGGTGATGAGGACCATAGGGGATATGGGTGCCCCCAACATGTGCCTTATCTTTGCCAAATTTATATTTGGATGAATTGCAATGGAGGTGGAGGCCTGTAAAAATAGTGGCCATTTTCACTACAAAACTGACAAACACTTCCTGTGGTTGCATTTTTTTTAATAATAAATGTCTTTAATAGAAACTGTTCAGTTTCCTCAGCTTAAGTGAAACTTTGTGGCTTCCCCTGTCTTTCCCACACACTCCAAGTCTGATAGGGTCCGCACGTACAAGTCTGGTTTAAGAGTGCAGTAATGAATAAACCATGTATTATGGCTATATCACTAACATTTCCTTCCAGGACAACTTCCATGTCAAGAATCATTTAACCTCCAGCTTCCTTCATTCTGTCAGTCCTTTAGAATGTCCTTTAGCACAACAACATCCTGATTTGCTCTGTTTTTAACTATCTGTCAGGCTCTGAACACTGAGGGGGACTTCAAAGAGTCTGGGTGGTCTCTGATCTTGACCTGATCCGTGTCAGGTTCACACAAATCAGAGTTTGTTCATTCTCAAGGTGTCTGATTAGCAATTTGGTGACAAGTCTGGACTACGCACATTGTGTCTTTCAAAGAGACGTCCGGTCTGTTGATACTGCTGATTGGTGCCAGTAGATTTGGTGCTTTTATTTAACTCCTCTGACTAGCGTCGTTGAACCAGCTTGCTCTACAATAATCTCAGACTTTAATCCTAGTTTGTTAGAGGTGTCTTTGGCACTGACTGTCTTAATATGAAAATATTCTCCAGTAATTGGTTAATATTTATTGTTGATGCACTCATTCTTGCAGTTCTGGTCAGAAACCATCTACTACATGAATGTGTTAGTTTTTGCAAAGACACAGGAAACGGCATTTGCCAAAAATATAATTTGATGTAGCACACATGCAGAGTGAGATCCCTTTGGGGGCTGGATTGTGAAAGTGAACATTATTATGATGTTGTGTTGTGTTACGTTACCATTCAAATGTTTGGGGTCAGTCAAGTCTTTTATGCTCACCAAGGGTGCTTTTATTTGATCAAAAATAATCAAAATTTAAAAATAACAGTTTTCTGTTTTAATATATTTTTAAAATGTAATTTATTCCTGTGATGGCAAAGCTGAATTTTCAGCATCATTACTCCAGTCTTCAGTGTCAGATGATCCTTTCAGAAATCATTCTAATATGCTGATTTGGAGCTCAAAACATTTATTATTATTATCAATGTTGAAAACAGTTGTTGCTTAATATTCTTGTGGAAACTGATAGTTTTTTCAGTATTCTTCGATGAATAGAACGTTCTAAAGAACAGCATTTATTTTAAATAGAAATCCTTTGTAACGTTATACGTCTTTACTGTCACTTTCGAACAATTTAATGCATCCTTGCTGAATAAAAGTATTAATTTCTTTAAAAACAAAAATCCTAAAACATTTGAACAGTAGTGTTATGTGTTATTAGTGGGCTCTTTGTCCTGGACAGTAACAACCACCCTGATTTTAAGGTATGTTGAGGTATGTTTACTGACAGGTTGTTTTTCCTCTAGGGAAACAGTGCTTCTTGGTCCTGCGTCACCAGCAGTTTACCGTGCAGGCCCTGCTCGCCGTGGGAGAACGTGCGAGCAAGCAGATGGTCAAGTTTGCAGCTAAGTGAGTATAGGCTATGTTTCCTGTCAAACAATGGTGGGAAAAGTGAAGTCCTGGCGACTCATTCCATTTTACCATGTTTAGTGGCGATCGATAAAGTTTCACTTCAGAACAAAAGCTCCATTTTTGCAGTCGGAAACAGCTTTCCCTCAACACCGTAATGGGTCGTTCCCCTTAAAACAACAAATAGTAGATACATCAGAGAGACAGAGATCTACTTTAAAGTCTGGCCTGAATGAATGACTCTGGGTTCGGGGTCAAATAGAGGGTTGTGGGACAATAGGACCAACATCCAGTCACAAATACAACACTGAAACCTTTCGTTTCATACAATGGCACGTGAGTTGCCAGTTAGTTTCTTATTTATTATTGGCTCAGTCTGGACGTATGGAAATGTGAATGTTTAAAAATGTTTCATCAGATAGGAAGCTTTCATGACTATATGGTAGACAAGTCACTTTGTTTTCAAGTCCACTTCCAGTCTTTTAAGAGGGTCAGAGGGGTTTGCTGCTTAACCGTGTTAACATCCTCTGTTTGCTCATGCAGCATTAAATGGAGGCTAAACTCACTTTATCAGTCGTGAATTAGGAAGGGTGTTGTGGTCTGGGGAGTTCCTTTGCAGTTCCTTACGCTGTTGATCTTGTTTCCCTTTGCTTGCGTTTTAATGTAATTGTTCTGGACTCAAAGGGTCCTGGTTGATATCTGTGCTCTTGGTTGTTTGTTATCTAACTGAAAGATTTCACTTCAGCAGAAATCTTAGATGAGCGTTTCCACACATCGCAAATCTTTGGAGCAGATTTTGTGTTTTGTAGAGAAACTTCCTCTCTCTGTGTGTTACGTAAATGTTTGTGGAGTAACATAACAGTTGGAGAGTTTCAGTTAGGGGATGTTAAAGAAATAATCTAGTTGCCACATAAAATGCCATTTTCTTTTATTGTTGCAGCATGTTCAGCACACCCAAATTGTTCCATCAAACACCTCATTTATTTGATTTATGTACCTGTTAATAAACATTTTAGAGTACCAGAATTATCTAAAGTAATGATGTGGTATATTTGAAAGTAATGTAGATCAATATCAGCTTACGCTAAGATGCACATTTCCCATGTCTATTGTCTACCTGGAATTCTGTTTGAGAGCAAGCTCACATTTCCTAAAACGGGTTCATTATTCAGTTTTTTTGACTAAAAATATCATGCAAGTATCATTGCAGGGTGAATAATAAAACCTATTGTAAAATACATAGTTTTGAATTTGAAATCAGTTCAGGGTCGTGTTCAAAGAAATATTTAAAAACTTGCTTAATTAAACTTAATGAATTTTTATATTATATTTGATGTTACTTGGCAGAAATATTCTATTTATTTGTTGTAAATATTTATATTTAAATACAATGTTTTATAAAAGCAATAATCAACTTGGATGCATTACAGTGCACATTACATGATTATTTTCAAATCCTTTTACCATGGTAGAATCTACCATTCATAATGCAATGCAAATGAAAAAAATTCAACATAAATATAATATAAAATATAAATTTCACACACTGTAAAAGTCAACTAAACAGTCTGTAATAAAATGAATAACAAATAGTCAAACTACAAGCAATAGCACAAATAAACAACAGAAAAAAGATGCAAATGAAATTTACAGTGCTTTTCAGGTTTTTCAGGTAGTAGTTAGACACAGATTAAGTATATTATGTACAGAAATTGATTAAAGTAATTACATGTACAATAACACAGCATAGTTTTCACTCTGAATTAAATATAGATGAATCCTTATGAAAGTTACAAAAGTTATTCAGTCAAGAAGATTGAGTGATTTTATGCCGTAAGTCTGTTGTTTGATTAACATTAAAAACACAGGCAGCAGCAGCAGCAATATTAGGCTGCTGTCACTTTAAGATATATTGCACATTGCACTGATCCAATATACTGATACTGTTACACATGCGTTTTATTTCTCAACTGTTTATGTTCACTTAACACCTGTCCGACTATGTTTACTAGAATACTCACCAAGATGGGCATTTTGACATAAAATTTTGTGTGAAATTGTCCATTCAAGCGCAAGAAGACGTGAAGGAGAGCTCAATTCAGCTTCGGATGTGCAATTTGCGCACACAAAACTGGCGCTTGAATGTTTAAATTGGCAAGGCTTAAAAACGTGTGCAAATGATAAACTTTCATGACGACGTAGCAGCACTGGTCCGATCGAGACAGTGACAGTTCAGTCAACGAGCCCTTCATGTGCTCTCTTTCTCTCACGGTTGAGTGCGCGTGTGTGAGAGAAAGCGACAGAGGGCGCTCTAGCCAAGCGACGGTGTGTAAAGCTCAGCAGGCAATGAAATGATATCTGCTCTAAACTTATTTTTTGCCGACAGGCGACTGTAATTGTACAATTTACTATCCATTGGCTAATTAAAGATATTTTTAGTCGCCTCATGAAATTTGGTCGCATATGTGACTGATTTACTCTCATTGTAGAAGGTTGCTTTGTATGTATTGAAATTTATCTTGAATACAAACCAAGCTATAAAGCCACTCAGTGCTGATGTCCACCGTAATTTTACATGCTTCTTTACACCACCTCCTGTTCGTGCCATATCTGTGTATAATAAGATTATTAAGCATTGCTTCCTGAACCTAGGATGCTCCAGACCCTGATTAGAGTTTCTTTCCTGGTGAGCCTTTCCACCTCAAACTCTACAGACAAGCACAAGTTCTTTGAAGCACAGATCACCCTAGATGATGCGAAGTCTCCATCGCTGAAACAATCACTCATATTTGAAACTAACTAATAGCTTTCTATCTTAATTATTAGCCGTGCTGGCTAATCTTCTTCAGTAAATTTAGTTTTGAAATCGAATGTTGTTTGACAAAAGCGTATGAGCTCAATCAGAGGGCAGGTCAAACACAATGGCTCTCTGTGTAATCCTCTTTTTATATCCACCTCTCTCTTCAGCCCAGTGTCCTTTCAATGCAGAGCCCATCATGGGCGGCTTAGTGTTCAGTAACCAGACTTAATCAGGACTTATGAAGAGTGTCTGTATGGAGATTGTTTGAGAGAGCCGTGTGAGCAGAACTGATCCCAGAGCGATGTGGCCGCTCTCTGAGCAGCAGCTGGCAGGGACTGGCGCGTCTCATTCTCACTCTCTCTGGTCTCTCATTACTCCTTTGTAATGACTAGAGCTGAAGGTTGCAATCTCAATTTGTGCCGTCTGCTTCTCCAGCAGACAGTTGGCCGTCGCTTTTACGTTTGACCTTAGAGAGATGACATGGCTTAGACTTGCCAATCTAATATTGTTTCACTAAAAGGAGTAGGTCATCCAAAATTAAAGTGGTCAATTTCTCACTCTCATGTCGTTCCAGACCGGTTTGACATTATTTTAAATTTTATGACATATCTTGAATGATAGTTCAAAGTGTCATTGTCTGTCAAGCTTTAGTAAATATTGTGTTTCACTGAAAAAAACAATGCTTAACATATTCGTTTGGAATGCGAAGAGGTTTAGTAAATGGTATTATTTCCATCTTTAGGTGAATCAGTATTTGTGGTGGTGAGAATCCTGTGACCTTTTGGTTTGTGATGTAAAGAACTTAAAATACATACTGTTTAACCAGAGTAAAAGTGATGTGGTTCGTCTTCACAACAGCAATGTTTGTTTGAACTGTGAAAAGGAGAACTGTGTATATCACGTGTGAAATAGTTAAAAACAAAAAAGAATTGCGAAGATACTGTTGCCTAACAATGTGATCTCATGAGTTTCCATGAAGTTTTTGTTTCATGTGTTATTCTAAAAGTTGTTTGAAAAACACCTAAGACTTATCATTAAGTCTTAAAAAAAGTTTTTCTAAAATAAAAAAAGAAAACTTTTTTTGGACATTCATATTCATTTTTAAAAGAGCAAGTGTTCTGTACACTACCGTTCAAAAGTTTAGGGTCAGTAAGGGGGTTTATTTTAAACAAAGTAATACTTTTATTGTTTGAATTGATCAAAAATGCAGTAAAGACTGCTGTTCTTTGGACTTTTCTGTTCCTCTAAACATCCTGAAAATATTTATCACGGTTTTCAGAAAAATAAACTGTTTTCAACATTGATGATAATAAGAAATGTTTCTTGAGCAGTATATCAGAATAATTTCTGAAGATTCATGTGACACTGAAGTCTAGAGTAATGATGCTGAAAATTCAGCTTTGCCATCACAGGAATATATTACATTTGAAACTTTATTAAAAATGTTTTAAATTGTAATAATATTTCACAATACTACAGTCTTTACTGCATTTTTTTGGTCAAATAAATGCAGCCTTTGTGAGCAGACATCTTTAAATTAAAAAAATAATAATCATACCAATCCCAAACTTTTGAATGGTAGTGTGAACTCTAAAACACCCATAAAACTGTATATATAATGTTTATACAAGATTTATGAATATATATTTGTAATCACTTTTGGAGTGCAGTTTTTGATTTTTCAGGACACTGCGGCCTCATTTCATGTCAGCTGTCCAAATGCGTTTTTCCCCTTCATCCTCATGCTGTATTTTTCTATTCACAGCCTCACGAAGGAGAGCATCATTGACGTGGAGGCTGTGGTGAAGAAGGTTGAGCAGAAGATCGAGAGCTGTTCACAGCAGGATGTGGAGCTCCATGTTGAGAGGGTAGAGATCAAAGACGTACTCGATTAAAAGAATACATCTGATTGTTCTCTGTAAATATTGAAAGTTTAATTGGAAACAATCCTCATCATGGAATATAGGATCTTTGTATCTTTCACCACAGCACAATGTCTACAAGCTCCTGTAGTTCATGCAGTGAAAGTGGATGGGGACCAGTGACAGTTGAGGTCACTATTCACGTTCATTGTACTGAAAAGAGCAGCTTAGACATTCTGCTAGATAGCTTGTTTTTGTTGAGGAGTCTTGTGTTAAAGCTGCATAGCTTAAACTCTCTTTGCTGTGTCTTTGTCCTAGATCTTTGTGATCAGCCAGTCTGAGGCCAGACTTCCCCTTCAGCTAGAAGACGCTGTCAGGCCCGAGGGAGAAGGAGATGAGGTGAGAAACGGTCAAGAACAAAACCCAACTAAACATTAAAAAAATGTTCTCTCAGTTCAGTGTTACGATAATACGATACGAGTCCAAGTTCAGTTAGACATGTTGAGTTAAAAGAAATGCAAGCATACTACACAGTTTATAAAACGGTTAGTTCCAATCCTTGATTCTGATTGGTCAATAGCTGTGCTTTATTCACGATAAAACACGGCTATGACCGCTTCACCCAACGGTTCTATGTATCACTACACAACACCCCTAGCAACCACTCTTAGCAACTTAAACAGATGTTTCATCTCATTGATATTGTTCATTTAAAGCTAGAGCAGAGCATTGTGAGAGATCGAGTAAGCGAGTGTACCTGCATTTACAGTAGACGTAGCATTTTCCTTCAGGTCAGTCCTATATTCATAATAAAAAAATGCGTTTGAATGTCCGCTGCATATTTTGTCCTTTTAACAGTCATGGGGTTTTCCGTGCATAACGTTAGTCATCTGTCAGTTGCGTCTGTCTTCTCCGTGATCACAAGTTCGAGTCCTTTCAAAAGCCTTCTCTACAGACTCACTCACTCACTCACTCACTCATAAAGACAGTCTTTGCCGCCATCTATTGGCGAAATAATATATGTAACTTCTGTTGCTGTTCACGTTCCGGGACTATTTTTTCCAGCGGAAGGCAGGCTTTTAGTGATTTTACTTCATGAAAGTTGCATAGATACATATTTTTCGGCTTTAATATTTTTATTGTGTGGCAACCGTTTTATAAAAGCAATAAGGTACTCGAGGCAAGTGCTGTATCGTGAATAAGTAACGGCTGAAGGGGTTGCAGGCACTCCGCTTCGCGTCGTGCCTAACAACGCCCTCCAGCCGTTACTTATTCACGATACAGCACAGCCTCTCGTACCTTATTGCTTACATATAGTACACTGCATAGTATTTATTTTTTGAAAGCTATGCAGCACCAAACTTTTTAACAGTAGTAAGTTACTTTGTTGACAGTATTGCATTGTGGTACATAGCATTCCTTGCAGTATAAAGCCCAAAGTAAAATTTGTTTTTTAGCGTATGCGTACAGTCGAACACGTTGCCTTTCAAAGTATACACCATTTGATAGCATATGCGAACGAAAGTTTCATCTTTGTCCAGTGCCTGTCCATCTTTCTCCAGAAGTTATGACTGATAAAAATGTCTTGTATTCTTTGAAACTAAAGTTACGGCTATCTCATAACCTCCTCACATACTGTAAGTGCTTGTCAATGCGGGCATCTGTCATTGTTGCAGTCTCCGGTGTTTTGTTGTTGTTCTGTCTCTTTAGTTTAGTTTTCTACTGTGAAACGAGATCTTGTGGAACAACTGATTAGTGCAAAACAAATTCAATGCGCACGCGCGTTACGAGAACCGTGCTGCGAGCGTACTATTCTGGTGTACGCGTAAATACCAAAGTATACTTTGGGCTTAAGCTGTTGTGTACTTCTCATAACAAATGCAGCAGGTCATCCAGGCATACCATGCATACGGAAAATTTGCATACTGTGCACAGTATACATGCTACACACTACAGAAATGGCTATTCTTAGATTCTGTCTTTGCCCCTCTTTCTTGACGTCAGACAGTTGATGGTGTTTATGTAGTAAGACAAAACCAGCTGCAGTTGCTGTCCAGGTGTTCTCTGCAGGGATTCCACAACGCCAGTCAGACAGAGCATCTGCCGCCTCATTACGCCTGTGTCTTATCGGCCCGGTCCGAGGATGAGTAGCCTGTTGATCAGTCTTGAGCTCCTACAGGCTTTATGAAGGAAAGATAACAAGATATCAATGGAGCGAGGCCAGACTCTGTACAAATGAAATGTACGAGAGTCTGGTGGGACCAGGCTACCATGGAGCAGCCTCTGCAAGAGAAACTATTTGAATCTAGTTTCAAATATATACTCTGCTGTTCAAAACTTTTCAAATGTTTGGGTGTGTTTCTTATGCTCACCAAGGGTGCATTTATTTGACCAAAAATACAGTAAAAAAGTGATATTCTAAAACATTATAACAATTTAAAATAACTGTTTTCTGTGTTAATATATTTTAAAATATAATTTATTCCCTGATGGCACAGCTGAATTTCCAGAATGATTACTCCAGTCTTCAGTGTCACATGATCCTTCAGAAATTTTTTATATGCTGATTTGGTGCTCAAGAAACACTATTATAAATAGTGATTAATATTAATATTTTCATGGAAAACATAATTATTTTCAGGATTCTTTGAAGAATATAAATTTCAAAAGAACAGCATTAATTTGAAATATAAATCTTTTGTAACCTTATGAATGTCCCTTCTGTGACTTTTGATCAATTTAATGCACCCTTGTGGAATAAAAGTATTAATTTCTTTAAAAAAAAAAACGTACTGACTTATGATCAGCACTGTATATTATACCTGCATAATTTCCAGCTTGTTGCAAACTTTCTTTTTGTAAATTTAAGTATAAAAGTATAAAGAAAAAATAAAGTTAAATGAAAATGTTATATATATATATATATATATATATATATATTAGGGCTGTCAAATGATTAATCGTGATTAATCACATCCAAAATAATTTTTTTTTTACATAATATATGTGGGTGCACTGTGTATAATTATTTTGTATATATATAAATACACACACATGCATGTATATTTAAGAAAATAATATTATTTATATATAAAATATTTATATTTATATATAATATAAATTATATATAAATCTATATATAGTATATACATGAAAATATTTCTTAAATATATACAAGCATGTGTGTGTATTTATATATATATAAAATAATTATACACAGTGCACCCACATATATTATGTAAAAAAAACTTTTATTTTGGATGTGATTAATCACGATTAATCATTTGACAGCCCTAATATATATATATATATACACACAGTATATTGCAATATATATATATTGTGATCAGGCCAGTGATAATGTTGGCATGGTAAGTGCAAATTAGTCTGGCAGAAAAAAAAAACCTGATTGTTGATCCCTGATGGAAGAATCATATAGATTTGGAATTACATGATTTTGAACCATTCAGAGTTATTTGTAAGTTGACGACAGAATTTCGAAGAAATTTTGGAGTAATCATGTCCTTTTTCTTTCAGGAGGGAAGAGCCACTGTCAATCAGGACACCAGACTGGACAACAGAGTTATTGATTTGAGGGTAAGCCAAGAGTAAAGTTTACAAGTGTTTCCGTCCTTCGGATGAGACGTTAAACTGAGGTCCTGTCTCTCTGTGGTCATAAAAAAAACCCAGTATGTTCTTCGGAAAAAGAGTAGGGGTGTATCCCTGACATCCTGGCCAAATTTGTCCATTGGCGTCTGTCCATCATGGCCTCCTAAACATCCCCATATTGACTGATTGGCTTCATCATATTGTTCTGGCGCAATATGGCTGCCGTCGCATCATCCAGGTGGATGCTGCACATTGGTGGTGGTTGAGGAGATGTTATGCGCTTTGAGTACCCAGAAAAGCGCTAGATAAATGTAACGAATTATTAATTAATATTTCTATTATTACAAGAATAAAGTTTAAACATAAGCCTAAAGTTAAACGTAAGCCAGTACTATTTAAAGTCGGCATGAAATCAGAATTGACACTATTTACTTTGTTAGTGCACAAAACTAGTCTTGTGGTGAACAATCAACTCATGCAAGTTAATACACAGAAAAAAATAGTTTGTCGTGGTAATCTTTAATCAAAATCTGAAAATTTGCTTCCGCTTTGGAATGGCGTTCCTTCTCTGATGACGTCAGTTTGATGGCTTGGGATGAATAATCTTCTTACCCACTCCCCTCCAACCATCAGTCTGCTATGAGCAAGAGATGGAGAGGAGGAGCGCTAAAATAAAACCATGCACTTTATTCAATATTCTGTTTCAGTTGGAAATAAGTCACAACACTGAAGTAAAGTTGGTTGCAACTTCCTGTTCATGCGGACCAATATATTGGGGTCTAAATTTTTTATCAGTTTTATTTTGATAAACGTGACTCAGTATAACAATGTTATATGAAAAGAGTTTTTAGTAGTGGTCAATATTTGGCATTTTAAAAATATCGGCATCTAGAAACTAATTCTTTTTTCAGAATTAAGTAGTAGGAAATTAATAGTCATCCACATTTTTATATCAGCTATGCATTCCGTTAATTTTGTGAATTGGTGCGTTTCGTCGGGGCGCGAAGAAATATAGAGCTGAGTATCATCAGCATAACAGTGAAAACTAATTCCATGCTTCCTAATGATATCTCCTAAGGGTAGCATGTACAGAGTGAACAACAACGGTCCTAGTACTGAGCCTTGTGGTACTCCATACTGAAGACATCTCTTCATTTACTACTACAAACTGATAACGGTCAGATAAGTATGATTTGAACCATGCTAGTGCAATTCCACTAATGCCAACATAATTTTCGAGTCTATTCAAAAGAAGGTTGAAGTCGATGTTATTAAATGCAGCTTTAAGATCCAGTAACACTTAATAGAGAGATACAACCACGATCGGATGATAAGAGCAAATAATTTGTGACTCTGATGAGAGCAGTCTCAGTACTATGATATGGTCTAAATCCTGACTGGAAATCCTCACAGATACCATTTCTTTCTAAAAAGGAACATAGTTGTGAGGATACTGCCTTTTCTATTAATTTTGACAGAAAAGGTAGATTCGAGATTGGCCTGTAATTGACTAATTCTCTAGGATCAAGTTGCGTTTTTTTAATAAGAGGTTTAATAATAATAATAGCCATTGTATATTATTTGTAACAGAAAAGGCAAACAATCAGGCTAAAATACTTTCTCATTTACCTTCAACATTCAGCAAATGCGCATGTACATCATTTAAACAAATATCTGAACATCTAATAAACATTTAATTTCACAAACCTTGCAGATTTAATCGAATCCAGCTGTGATATCTTGTGAAGTATGCGAAGTGAGTGAATGCAAACAGAAGATCAGCTTCACAGGAGACGTGATCGAAAAACTTTAAATCCTTCATTTTAAAATATGCTGTGCTATATCCAGTTTCCCACTGTGTCATATTCATATCGGTTTCACTGTGTGCTGTATGTAAAATTAGCGTTACCTTGTCTTTATTTAAAAAAATATGATCACCAGTGTGCCTTTTATTCACATATTCATATATTTTTAAACAATTACTTTATTTGTGAAAAAACTGTAATAGGATTGCAGATTCAAGAAGTTGCCATCTAAAGTATAAGCATGTTTATTTTAAAGATTTGTTTTCTAATTTATTAAATATTGATTAAAATAAATATAAAGTGTGTGTATATATATATATGTATGTGTATATATATATATATATATATATATATATATACATACAGTGGGGAGAACAAGTATTTGATACACTGCCGATTTTGCAGGTTTTCCCACTTACAAAGCATGTAGAAGTCTGTAATTTTTATCATAGGTACTCTTCAACTGTGAGTGACGGAATCTAAAACATAAATCCAGAAAATCACATTGTATGATTTTTAAGTAATTTGCATTTTATTGCATGACATAAGTATTTGATACATCAGAAAAGCAGACCTTAATATTTGGTACAGAAACCTTTGTTTGCAATTACAGAGTTCATACGTTTCCTGTAGTTCTTGACCAGGTTTGCACACACTGCAGCAGGGATTTTGGCCCACTCCTCCATACAGACCTTCTCCAGATCCTTCAGGTTTCGGGGCTGTCGCTGGGCAATACGGACTTTCAGCTGCCTCCAAAGATTTTCTATTGGGTTCAGGTCTGGAGACTGGCTAGGCCACTCCAGGACCTTGAGATGCTTCTTACGGAGCCACTCCTTAGTTGCCCTGGCTGTGTGTTTCGGGTCGTTGTCATGCTGGAAGACCCAGCCACGACCCATCTTCAATGCTCTTACTGAGGGAAGGAGGTTGTTGGCCAAGATCTTGCGATACATGGCCCCACCCATCCTCCCCTCAATATGGTGCAGTCGTCCTGTCCCCTTTGCAGAAAAGCATCCCCAAAGAATGATGTTTCCACCTCCATGCTTCATGGTTGGGATGGTGTTCTTGGGGTTGTACTCATCCTTCTTCTTCCTCCAAACACGGCGAGTGGAGTTTAGACCAAAAAGCTTTATTTGTGTCTCATCAGACCACATGACCTTCTCCCATTCCTCCTCTGGATCATCCAGATGGTCATTGGCAAACTTCAGATGGGCTTGGACATGCGCTGGCTTGAGCAGGGGGACCTTGCGTGCGCTGCAGGATTTTAATTCTTGACGGCGTAGTGTGTTACTAATGGTTTTCTTTGAGACTGTGGCCCCTGCTCTCTTCAGGTCATTGACCAGGTCCTGCCGTGTAGTTCTGGGCTGATCCCTCACCTTCCTCATGATCATTGATGCCCCACGAGGTGAGATTTTGCATGGAGCCCCAGACCGAGGGAGATTGACCGTCATCTTGAACTTCTTCCATTTTCTAATGATTGCGCCAACTGTTGTTGCCTTCTCACTAAGCTGCTTGCCTATTGTCCTGTAGCCCATCCCAGCCTTGTGCAGGTCCGCAATTTTATCCCTGATGTCCTTACACAGCTCTCTGGTCTAGGCCATTGTGGAGAGGTTGGAGTCTGTTTGATTGAGTGTGTGGACAGGTGTCTGTTATACAGGTAACGGGTTCAAACAGGTGCAGTTAATACAGGTAATGAGTGGAGAACAGGAGGGCTTCTTAAAGAGAAACTAACAGATCTGTGAGAGCTGGAATTATTACTAGTTGGTAGGTGATCAAATACTTATGTCATGCAATAAAATGCAAATGAATTACTTAAAAATCATACAATGTGATTTTCTGGATTTTTGTTTTAGATTCCTTCACTCACAGTTGAAGAGTACCTATGATAAAAATTACAGACTTCTGCATGCTTTCTAAGTGGGAACACCTGCAAAATCGGCAGTGTATCAAATACTTGTTCTCCCCACTGTATATAAATAATATCGGCTTTATATTGGCCATCGGCCACCCTGCTCTCTAAGATATCGACATCGCCCATCAAAGAACCAATATCGGTCGACCACTAGTTTTTACTGTTATAAAACATGAATTTGCGAGCATAAGCGGAACTAAAGGTGTCCAAATAAACACGTTGTTGTCTTTGGTGAATCCGGCCAATTGTGAAACAGCTGTATCGTCCTCATGTAGCCGCTCTGGAGAAACTGCACTGACTGAACCAGCTGACTGCTTTCGGATCGCTTTCGCTGTATGATGGCATACGTCACTTGGCGTCAGAAATAAGAGCAAAGAAATAAACGGTGTTCAGCGGTGGCAGGATTAGCTCTGACATAATGAAAGACCTCCATGTCACGCACCCACACACCCCATGCTATTTTTAATTTTTTTAACACACCAAAGGAGATTGAAATCTGGCAGTGTTGTAGGACTGTCACAATGCACTTAGCTCTGAGAAAGCTGCTCTTTTTTTGAGAACTTCCAGAAAGTGAAGGCAGAAATCTGAGAGCGTGAGGTGGGGGAGTCAAACCACAGAACAGCAGCTTTTCACGCCTCTTTGGTTTTCACTGCAGCCTTGTGAACACTAAAGTGATGCACACAGCTCCTTTCTCCACGCCTACAGTGAGAGACGTGTGAGGACGTCAACTGAAACCTGCGTGTTTTCACACTCTACTGATAACAGCTTTGCATATAAACTGTACAACAGCTTAGCTTTACAGACTAGTTACTAAATGTCATGGCAACGTATCCCCTGGCCCCGAGTTATCATGATCTGCACTAAGAATATAGACAGACTGTCTTAATATGTTGACTCTTTGATATTTATTAGCCGATTAATAAGAGGAAGCCCTGTTGTCCTGTTTATATTACATTTACTGCATGGTTTTGAAATCATAAATTACTACACAATAACTGTTATTTAAAAAAACAACAACATTTAATTAATGCAGAAATATCATGGAATATTCAAATGTTTATAGTAAATCTAGATTTTTTCTAGTTACGTTCATCTATATTTTATTGCTAGAAATGTGCTGTTAGTGAGTGCAATCTCTATTTAATGATTTTTAAAACTCCTCAAATTTATTAGCCAAAAGTTGTAGGAACCCATTTCTAAGTTATAAGCCACTAATGAAATATGCACTTTTTTTTCCTGTTCCAAAATCAAAGCTGTCTACTCAGATGTGGACGTTTTCCGAAAGGAAAGCAGCATCTAAGATATCTTGATTTGAACCTATTCTAAAGCAGAAACACAGTGCATTACCAGAGTGCATTGTGACAAGCTCAGGGATGAGAAATATCAGTTATAAATATACTCTACTGTTCAAAAGTTTGGGGTAAGATTTTGTTGTTGTTGTTGAAAGAAATCAATATTTTATTCAACAAGGATGCAATAATTTAATTAAAAGTGACACTAAATTCTTATATATATATGTATTTAAAATAAATGCTGTTCTTTCCACAACTGTTTTCAACATTGATGGTGATAATAAATGTTTCTTGAGCATCAAATCAGCATATTAGAATGATATCTGAAGGATCATGTGACACTGAAGACTGGAGTAATGATGCAAAAAATTCAGCTTCAGGATACATTAAATTAGATAAGTTAAATTGTTATATTTCACAGTATTACTGTTTTACTGTATTCTTGATCAAATAGACTTCTTGCTAAAATATGATCAATTCTTACCAACCCCAAACTTTTGAACTCTAGTGTACTTATTTTCAGTACTGAAACTGATCATTTTAATAGTTCCGTCTAATTACTAATCTCCTATCTTACCCATTGTCGGTGTCTGCTATGTATTTCTTGTATTTATCACCCAAACAACATGTTAACTTCAAACCAAAGTTCGCCAGCCATCTTTATTGACACCCTCTTACAGTAAAAACAACTCTTATCTGCTTGAAAACCAGAAACTCTAAAACTGTTTGTCAAGTTTGCATGACAGTATTAGATTTATCAGCAATAAAAACTGACAGTTATGGTATCATAAATTTAGCCTATTTAGCTGAAATCACGCAAAAATAGCAGTTCTCAGAGACCAGCCCAGCTAATGCACAAGCATGTTAGATTTGTCGGCAGAGTTGTTGATTTTAGATCAATTGCATTTCATTAGGAAGCTGTCTTGGAAGGTTGCAGCCCATGTAGGCAGTGCACTGCAAGGAACCTTAATACGCATTAAACGTATTAGCTTTTGGAACAGAGCTAATTTATGTCATACTTACTGGCCTTTTAGAGGTTAATAAAGTGTCATAATGAGGTTGAAACTACAAACATACATGAAACCAGGATAGATCTGATTAACTTAAATCTCCAAAGAAATCTTAATGTTATACTATCACATAATGAATTCTTGCCTGCAAAAGCTAGTCTGTCCTAACTAAATCAAATCCAGTAAAACAAGACGCTAGAGCCTTGAAATATTGATATAGAAGCTGATTGTTTCTCTAGGATTTATGCAAACTCTGTAGGTCATGAAGAATCGGAAACGTGGCCCATATCACGGGTCATCAGGGAGTCATCTGATTCATGGGAAATTCATGCTGAGAAAGCTTTTTTGCTCAATGCCAGAGGATTCAGGAGGTTTGATTGTTGCTGAAGATTGATTTTGCAAGTACTGTGTCCCTTTGGTACTGTGAAGAGGACCTAATTTATTTGTATCTCTGAAAAAATGACCAGAATATTTTACGTTGCCAGTGAGATTTTATTGTAACATCATAAAAAGAGCTCTTCTGAGATCTAGCGTTATGTTTCCTCCAGAACTTCTGCAGAAATACTTTCAAAAACTTTGAAATGTAGATGATTCAAGGTGTCACATTGCATAAAAAGAGAAGTGCTGACATCAGTCCCTGGCACACCCAAACAAACAGGTTACATAACATGTTTACTAACCCATGCGTCTTCCCTCACAGACTACGACCAGCCAGGCCATCTTCCGGCTGCAGTCCGGCGTATGTCAGCTCTTCAGAGACACGCTCATCAACAAGGGCTTTGTGGAGATTCAGACCCCCAAGATCATCTCTGGTACGACTTCATCTCTCCTTTTGTTCTCATCTCTCTGCATAATTTTGGAGAGTCAGAGGAAGTCAACATTGGCCTAAGCATGGTAGAGGAGCCATCAATGGTCTTACCTGTAATTATAGCCTTATTGTAACAAATGCTACAGTTAAACAATTACAAGAACTAATGTATATTTTCATAAGGACAAGTACAAGTTAAAATCAAGAGCCATGTGTAAAATGTGTTCTCATGATGACTGAAAAACCTGGCCTTCAGATATTCTAAGAGATGATAGACGAAATCATCAAGAGCCTAATGAACTGTGAAGGAGTAGGACATCAACTATTTCAGTATAAAGTTAGCTTGACTTCATGTGGCACTTTGAGTTTGATCATTCTGTCAAACTGATAAGGTTCCAGGTGCTTAAATAATGTAAAATGCATCATCTTATGTAAGCAAGTAATTGGTAACTAGGCTATAATTATTTATTGCAGTTATATATCAACCAACTTTGCATGTGTGGATGATACCACAAAAGACCATTTTGCAAAAGTAAATAAGTAAATAAATAAACCTCACCGCTAAAACGCCCCCCCCCCCCCCCCCCCCCCATTCCATTGGATTCCATTTATTCTTTAAAATCAGTACAAAATGAAAATTCACTCTCTCTGTTTTCTAAATGCAGGTTTGGATCTATAGTGAACGATTCATCCAATCATGTTTTTTTGATCTCGTAATTTTTAATCATAATATCTTAACTCAACAGACTTCTCTCTGGTGACGTATACCGGACTTCTCCAATCATTCAGTGTTGTTCTTCAGTCCCGCACCTTTCTTACAATCGACTGCAAGCTTGCATTCAGATCTCCCTTCATTCAGATATCAACCCATGGATAGAAACCTAGTCCCTGCACTACATTTTTATTCTAATGTACCTCACAATACAGAAGAAAAGATCTGCCGCTACTTTCATTACATTGTGGCTTTAACCTCACAGAGCATCTGAGATGACACAAGGCGAACAGTCTTGTCTCCGTGTTCACACTGGAGTATCTGTATTCATGACGGCAGGGACAGAGTAGTACAGGTTTTATCTCTGTCCTCACACACCGAGCCTTCTGAATGATTTCCTGCTCATGGTGTCCAACTTAGTTTATTGTTCTTTCTCTGCACCTTCAGTCTCTAAAAATTTCAATTTCAAGGATTGATACTTTTTCATTTTCGGAGGTAAAAAAAAGTTTGCGACACTGTCAAAACACTGGCTGAAGAAAAAGTGGTGTTTATTAAGGAGATATGCCTCCAGTCACTGATAGGGTGCCATCATGTTAGCACTCTTGAAATTGTGGGTACACCGAGTGCTATGGGATCTGCTGGGATTCATGAGAACAGTTTTCTTTGTGAAGAGTTCAGGGCCTGTTTCACTTGACTTGACTCAATATCAAATTGATTGCTTTCTCAGCTCTTACAAGCACAGTTCACCCAAAAATAAAACAAATATATCATATAATAAGTTACAAAAGGTTTCTATTTCAGATAAATGCTGACCTTTTGAACTTTCTATTCACCAAAGAACCCATATATATATATATAATGTGTGTGTGTGTATATATATATATATATATATATATATATATATATGTGTGTGTGTGTGTATATATGTGTACAGGATACTGTCCTTAGATGCTGAAAGTCTAGTGTAAAAATGATGGTGCTCAACTACTTCAGCAGTCTCTTAAATACGCTTCTTTTTTAGTCCACCAATGATATCAAAGTCTATGTATTACGTCAGCAAAGGTCTCAGTGGTGTTACAACACTTTCCCTCTACAAACCCCCTTGTTGTGTTTGTGTGGTTTTCGCTGTTAAGGAAAACAGTTGCTTTCATTTCCTCTGCACCCCGACCGGCCAATCAGAACACATCTTTGTGACGCATTTCGAATTTAAACTTTGCCGCCTTTGGTGTGATCTGCCACCATCAACATCAACATAGTGTTCTTTCAGTAAAACCGCATGACATCCGGTGTGCACACACCCAAATGTATGTGCCCTAAAGAACATCATGCTCATTTACCACGCTTGCCATGAGAATTATCAGCTCACATTTGTGGACAACATGTTACACATGACTACAGTACAAATGTTTTTTTTGTGTGTTTTTAACAGCTGCCAGTGAGGGTGGCGCAAATGTCTTCACAGTCTCCTACTTCAAAACCAGTGCGTACCTGGCCCAGTCCCCTCAGCTCTACAAGCAAATGTGCATTTGTGCTGACTTTGACAAAGTCTTCTGTGTCGGACCAGGTAAAGCATAAAAATACACCCTCCTGTCCCTTTATTTTCCCTCTATTTGCTGTTTCCATCTTTAGGTCATCTTTAAAGTGGACAGTTAAAAATTAACTTAACGTCCAGAGACAATCTCATAGACTGTGGCCTATAAAGTATCTGGCCAGTTATTTGTAGAGGTCACCTTCACCAGTATCTCCTCCCTGCCAGAATGCAGATCAGGACATACTGCAGGATAAATATACGGATTGCGCTCTGTGCTTTTGGCGGGCACAGAAATCCCTCACTGAATAGAGCAAGAATATCAAACACTTTTAGCAGAGCCGTTGGGCATAGACTTCAGAAAAATACAGCTCATCAGGGACCTCTGCTGATGGGAAGTCACATTGTAGAAACTGCATAAGTGCTTTTTTTGTATACCTGGGAATATTCAAAACAAGTGCATTAGGCTGATTTTTTGGCAAGAATATTTTGATTATTGATGATCTTGTTTTTTGACACAGAAATTACAAATATAACTGCTACTAATATTGCTTGGCAGTTTTATTTTAGTATTATTTAAATACTATTATAGTATTGTGAATATTTATTTTGTTTCATTTCAGTAATTTTTGTTTTTTTTATATTCATCTTTATCTTTTCTATTTATTTTTAGTACAGTAAGTACTTCAACTTAAAATTATTTTATTTGAGTTAGTCATCAAGGCAGCATTTCTAATTTAGTTTCTTAAATATTTTCATATTAGTATTTATGTTTTGTTTTATTTAAATTATTTCAAAACCTTTTAATAGTTTTGATTTTTGTTAACTATAACAACACTGCAACAAAGGTGCATGTTTGCATGATAATATATATTTTTTTTTTTGGTCTGCTGGAAACAATAGTAATGGGTTTAAAATCATGTTCCACTCAAGTTTGCCCAGTTTTTTAAAATGAAATACTAAGGTTACTATGAATGTGAATCTCACAGTTGTCTGTGTTTCTTCTAGTGTTCAGGGCTGAGGATTCCAACACTCATCGCCATCTGACGGAGTTTGTGGGTCTGGATATTGAAATGACTTTCAATTACCATTACCATGAGGTCATTGACTCCATTACTGACACCATGGTTCAGATCTTTAAAGGACTACGTGACCGGTAAGGGACTTGACTCCTTCCACATCCCCTTAAGTTCTCAAAAGTTTTAGTGAAGTCATATTTCCTTTTATGAAGAATCAAATCACATGAGAATAATGTCTCATGAATTTCACTTGAAATTCATTAAAAGTGACGTCATTTATTCATGTGAAAGAAAGGGCAAACGCGTTCATGTGGTTTATAATAACAAGGATATACACTGCCATCCAGTGGTCAGACTATTATTTATAAAGATATTACTTTATAACTGAAGTATTTTACTGTCATTGTGTGGCAAATGCTACATACAATTGGAAATCCGACCCAAGCAGTCTCTATATGTGGAATGCATGAATATTTTATCCAGTAATCCAAAACAACCTGACCAGCACTAAGAAAAGTAACATTTGCCTACTAATGGTTTGCATTTGAAAGACCCTGAGAGACGCTTTTCAATAAAATTTTGTCTCTACATTTCTAGCTATGCATTCTCTTTTAATGGTGTGTCTGTGATGTGGATGCAGGTTCCAGACAGAGATCCAGACTGTGAACAAGCAGTACCCCAGTGAGCCGTTCAAGTTCCTGGAGCCCACGCTGAGACTGGAGTATATGGAGGGAGTGGCCATGCTCAGAGCTGCCGGGGTGGAAATGGGCGATGAGGAAGATTTGAGGTCAGTGTGGCTTTCTTTCATAGAATTTCCCACATTGCACACACAGGGAATTTGTAACATATTTTATAACAGATCTGTAATCTTTTATTTTTTTCTTCCTCAGCACACCCAACGAAAAGCTGCTTGGTCGTCTTGTGAAGGACAAGGTAAAAAGACATCATAAGTGATGTATACTTCTGTTCAAAGGTTTTTAAAGGAAATGTCTCAGCAAGGGTGCATTTATTTGATCTAAAATGCAGAAAAACAGTAATTGTGAAATATTATTGCAATTCAGATTTGATCTTTTCATAGATTTAGTGATTTTCAGCATCATTACTCCAGACTTCAATGTCACATGACCAGGGCTTGACTAACTTATTTGCTTGCCAGCCACTCAGAATTTTCACTGCCACGATTTTGACATTGATACCATGAGGAATAACTGCCATATTGATATTTTTAATATTATCTCATAATTTGGCAGCAGGTATATTAGGCTTCTGTCAATTTAAGACCTGACGCACGGATCCATTATTCTGTTACACATGAGTTTTCTTTCTCAACTGTTTACAGCGGGGGAACTAACTATTTGATCCCCTGCTGATTTTGTAAGTCCGCCCACTTACAAAGAAATAAAGGGTCTATAATTTTTATGGTAGGTTTATTTTAACGGATAGAGATAATATCAACCAAAAAAATCCAGAAAAACACATTATATAAAGATTGTAAATTGATTAGCATTTGATCGAGTGAAATAAGTATTTGATCCCCTACCAACCAGCAAGAATTCTGCCTCCCACAGATTGGTTATGTGGCCATGTGGAACACAGATTAGTCCTGTCACTTTAAGAAAGTACTCCTAATGTCAGTGGACACCTGTCCACAGAATCTGTATCTTCCATTCCAACCACTCCACCTCCATGGGCAATACCAAAGAGCTGTCAAATGTCAGGGACCAGATTGTAGACCTGCACAAGGCTGGAATGGGCTATACAAGACCATCAGCAAGAAGCTTGGTGAGAAGGAGACAACTGCTCGTGTGATTATTCAGAAATGGAAGAAATACTAAATGAAAAATAAATCGCCCTCTGTCTGGAGCTCCATGCAAGATCTCGCCTCATGGGTTGAGGATGATCATGAGAAAGGTGAGGGATCAGCCCAGAACTACAGAACTACCGAACAGTTGGGACCACAGTCACCAAGCAAATCATTAGTAACACACTACGCCGCAATGGATTGAAATCCTGCAGCGCCCACAAGGTCCCCCTGCTCAGGAATGGCACATGTAAAGTCCTGTCTGAAGTTTGCCAATGAACATCTAATGATTCAGAGAAGGCTTGGGAGAAAGTGCTGTGGTCAAAATTGAGCTCTTTGGCCTCAACTCGCCGTGTTTGGAGGAAGAGAAATGCTGACTATGACCCCAAGAACACCATCCCTGCAGTCAACCACGGAGGTGGAAACATTACGCTCTGGGGCTGTTTCTCTTTTAAGGGTACAGGACGACTTCACCGTATTGAGGGGCTTAGGGACGGGGCCATGTACCGTAAAATCTTGGACAAGAACCTCCTTTCCTCGGCCAGAACACTGAAGATGGGTCGTGGATGGGACTTCCAGCATGACAGTGACCCAAAACATACCGCCCAGGCAACAAAGGCGTGGCTCAAGAAGAAGCACATTAAGGTCCTGGGAGTGGCCAAGCCAGTCTCCAGACCATAATCCTATAGAACATCTGTGGAGGGAGCTGAAACTTTGAGTTGCCAAGCGACAGCCAAGAAACCTTAAGGATTTTGAGAGTATCTGTAGAGAAGAATGGACCAAAATCCCTGCTGAGATGTGTGTAAACCTGGTGACCAGCTACAAGAAACGTCTTACCTCTGCGCTTGCCAAAAAAGGTTTCTCCAACAAGTACTAAGGCATGTTTTGCTTGGGAAACAAATACTTATTTCACTCACTGAAATGCAAATCAAATTTTTTCTGGATTTTTTTGGTTGATATTCTGTCTCTATCTGTTAAAATAAACCTACCATAAAAATTATAGACCCTTCATTTCTTTGTAAGTGGGCGAACTTACAAAATCAGCAGGGGATCAAATAATTATTTCCCCCACTGTACGTTTACTTAAAACATAACTGACTGTGTTTACGTGAATTCCTCACCAAGATTTTAACATTATTTTGTGCGTATTTGAGCATTTAAGCGCAGTAAGCAGCAAAAAAGAACTCTATTTAGTACTGAGAAGAGGCTTTATGTGCGCGCACTTTCGATGTGAGCACAAAATCTGCGGGAATGAGTAAAAGGATGTGCAATACACGCAATCCCACGCCGAAATTCAAGCCCTGTAACACCAACAATATTCATCCGGAGCAAATGAGGGGAGGCTGGTTTGTGTCAACTCGATGTCGGAGAGTAATTTTTTAAATATTAGAAATGTTATAAAAATACACAATTTAAGTATTATTTTTTAAGATTTAAGTATTAAATCTTACTGACCCCAAACCTTTGAACGGCAGTGTATTTGAAATGGAAATAATAAAAAAAAAAAAAAAGCTTTTCCCTGAAATAAGAAATAAGATCAGACAATACTATCCATACTATAGAACCCCAAGCTCCCTCTTTAGTCCACCCAGATTATTCATAAAACCGTGAAAAATATGTCATTCTGAAGTCAGTTTGACATGTTTCTTTACTGCTTAAGGTCAGAGAGAGTAGAAAATGGCCTTTTAAAACAACATTTTCAATGTTTTTAGCTCCAGCCATTTTGAAATCTAGACTTTGGGGACAAAATGTAATTCTACAAACGTATACGTGGAATATGGCCCATATAAATTAAACGCACCTTTGTGATTTATTTTTATTTTTATAGTATGACACTGACTTCTATGTTCTGGACAAATACCCCTTGGCAGTAAGGCCATTCTACACCATGCCTGACCCCAACGACCCGGTAAGTGTTTTAAAGCCTTGTGAATCTAAATACATAGCTTTTTATTCACAGACTATGTGGTTCATAACAAACCCCACGTGTTCTTCCTGCAGAAATACTCCAACTCATATGATATGTTCATGAGAGGAGAGGAGATCCTGTCTGGAGCTCAGAGAGTCCACGATGCTCAGCTGCTCACTGAAAGGGCAATGCACCACAGCATTGGTAACGCAACAGCTGTGTTACAAAACCTACTAGAGTTTGGTGTTAACACATGTTGCTAAGCTAAAAAACAAAAACAAGAATGCACAAAACATCTGAATGTTGGTTGACCATAATGCATTTGAATTTCAACACTCTTCAGTATTTCATCTGCTTACTTTATTTTAAGGTGTCCTTGTTACAGTGTAATTATAGATTTAAGTACTGAGCAATATGAATTAACTACATGTTCTTAATATAGGGTTAGGGTTAAGAGACCAGGGTGTGGTTTATGGTTAGTTTCATGTAGTTATGCATAATTTATAGTTATTACTATTGTAACTACATGTAACAAGGAGGACACTGTAGATCTTTATGGTAAATACCGACTTCTCTAATGTCTGTTTTGTTGTAGATGACTCACTTTTTGCTCTTTGTTACAGACCTGGAGAAGATCAAGGCCTACATTGACTCGTTCCGTTATGGAGCTCCTCCTCATGCTGGCGGTGGCATAGGTGACAAACATTTTTTTACTATCATGTAGTTTAGAAATGGTCGAATTTCTACTACTTTTCAAAGTTCATTAAAATTTTGAGTTTGAAAGAAATTCATACTATTATTCAGCAAGGATGCATTCAATTGATCAAAAGGGGACAGTAAAGACTTTAACATGGTTTCAAAATCATTTTATTTCAAATATATGCTCTTTCAAACTTATTATTCATCAAAAAATCCTGAGAAAAATGTATCATGGTTTTCAGCATATTAGAATGATTTCTGAAGGTTCGTGTGATTGATTTAGCTTTGCCAACACAGGAATAAATGACATTTTAAAATTTCAAAGACATATTTAAATATTCAGATAGAAAATAATAATTTTAAATTGTATAAATACTTCACATTAATAGAGCTTTTATTGTATTTTTGATCAAATCAGTGCAGCCGCCTTATAAAAACATAAAATAATTCTTACAGTCCCCAATCTTTTGAATTGTAGTGTATAGTTTCTAAAACAGTTTTAGTGTTTTAAAAATATCTCTGGCACAAGTGCATGATGTTAAATGTATGCCATCTCTTAGGTCTGGAGAGAGTGACCATGCTTTATCTCGGCCTACACAACGTACGTCAGACCTCCATGTTCCCCCGTGACCCCAAACGCCTGACCCCATAAACATTAAAGTAGCCAGTCAGCCTCTCGTCTCCCATCCCGCCTGAAACAGTACAAGCTCTCGGTCACCCAGCCATCAGGGATCTGGACGTGCCAGGATGGGGAATTGCCATGACCATTAAGCCACTTTTATATTACTTCTCACCAGATACAGAAGGATGTTAGATGCATCTAATATACTTAAACCATTGAAGGGAATCAATGTTAACTGTTAAATGATGCAGATGGTATTGTGACATGCAGATCTTGTGTTATTAAAATCATACTGTACATGTAGGTTTTTTTTTCTACTGATCTATGTTCCTGACACACCCAAGCTTTTGAGAATTCTAAAAAAATAAATTAAACAGCACATGCACAATAAATTAACTAAATAGTATGTTTTTGAGTGTTTTTCTTCTGAATGTTTGACTATAAATGCTGTACATATAATTTTTTTCTGTGCAAAAAAAGCACATTAATGAATGTTTCAAGTGAACAAATCATAAGCACTTCCTATATGATTCCCCAAACATTGACAGTCAATATTACATCACTTCCTGTTTTGTAACGCCAGTGTAGACCTTTAGCGATAGTTCCAAACCTATGACTTTCTTTTTTTCTGTGGAACATAAATTAAGAAATGCTGGTAACCAGTATTGGTTACCATTGACTTCCATTTTATGGAGAATAAAATAATAAGTCAATAAGTTATTTATATACTATTACAGGTTTTATTCATATTTTTAATTATTCTTTTCATATTTTGAGTTTTGATTTTAGTTCAATTTTTATTTTAGTCATTTTGTTATTTGCTTTTGTCTTTTTTATTCGTTTTTACTTTTTTATATTACTATTTATTTCTATTTTAGTTTCAGTTTTTATTTACTTTCAGTTAGTAATTTTAGTGCTTCAACTTGAACTTATTTCATATGTTATGTATATATACAATTTCAGCTTTACTTCAGTTACTGTTTTTGAATCGTTTTAGTTAATGGTAAATAACCCTGCTCAGAGAAGTCAAACAGGTTAGGTTTGGAAGTCAATTAAATTTAAAACTAAGTAAAACTGTTCATTTTTGGGTTAACTATCCCTTTAACAATGTGGTCCACAGTCTTCATTTCAGTTACTTTAAGCCTTCAAACATCTACTTTTCCTGCATTCCCAATAGTCGTCATCATACAACAATACACTACTGTTTCTCTTCATTTTATTTCCCTTCAGGTTGTAGGCTAAATATTGATAATACAATTATCAAATCTCAGTGGAGCTGTTTTAGTACACACTCGGGCTCTTCAAAATGCAAATTAACAGGTGAAACGTTACAAAAATAAAGTGCTTATTATAAATAAAGTAACAATCAATTTTGTCAAAGTATGAGCAACCTCTGTAGAGCAACATATTACACAACACAAAATAATAACAGTCAGTAGTGTTGAAGGTGATATTTGAGATTCGTGTGATTGGAAAAAGTCAAGATAAGCTCAAAGAAAGATCAGTGTCTGAAACAGAAACGCTCAAATGCGTGTGTGAGTTTACTCAGAGCTCCCTGTGATGTGCAGGAGGAAGATAAAGATCTGGACGATATCAACGTAGAGGGAAAGGGCTCCGAAGACATATTCCTCAGGGCTGATGGCGTTCGCTCGGTTTCCAATGAGCAACTGAGTGTGGTAGGCCAAAAACTAGAAAAAGGGAAGTCATCAGTTAGTATTCCCTTGTGTAAATGTACTAAATTACAACTTCCTCATTACAAATGTCACATGGGTTCTGTTTCATTTTTAACAACTGGCAAATAACTGAACGAACAACATAAATTCCTGTTTCATAAACTCACCAAGGTAAAGACTATTGCTCCACAAGCACCATACAGCATGTGCAGCCAGGGCACCTGAGACATCGATGGTAGAGGTATATTATCATAGAACATGTATATTACAGGTTATTTATTCATTAGATTGGATATAGGCCTGACTTTGTAAAGACAGGTTTTGTAAGCAGTTCGGCTATGTGTAATGTCTGCAAAATATGTAGCTGTTAAACTGTTTTGAAAGAATAACTTTAACCCTTAAAGCAGTGGTTCTCAAAATGTTGGATTCCAAAGCCCCCCATTGTAGAAAACAATATTCAAAGGCACCCTAGCCTGAGTTCAACACTTATTTTAATCTACGGGCACTCCTAGTTTCTGTAAATTCAAAAAGTAGCCTAACTAAATAATTCGATTTCAGGTCTCCAGAAGTTTCAGGATCTGAATGTTCTCCAGGGCTACCATTTTTTTTTACCAAGGATTTTACATGACGAGTCCAGTCATTCATGATTTACTGGATAATGATTTTTAAAACATATTCTTAAAAGAACTGGCACACTGATATTTCCCAAAGTATTTAATAAATTGCGTTGTTTCGACCACAAGCGGTCTTCATCAGGCCTCGAAACAACGCAATTTATTCAATGTCTTTGGGAGCAGAAATATCAGTGTGCCGGTTCTTTTACATTTCAGCAAAGTTTTCTTTTGATCGAGCACCTGCTTAAGTGATGTTTGGATGTGCGCATGCTACTTTGAATTCAAAAATGTTTTTAACTCAATTTCTACCTGATAAAATACTTAAGAGCTTGGATAACTGGTAAAATCTAAATTAATTATACAAATTCCCATGCAGTTTTAAGATTTGGATTAATTTACATTCATTTACACATATATTAATGACACTTTTATAATTGGGCTACCTCATATATCCAGGTTTTTTTGTGGGAGCTCTGGTTCTTCAAAGACATAAAACAGTTGTTGTGAAGGAACATTAAAATAAGAAATATCCTGGTTATCTGAGTGTTTTTTGTCTTTAATCATTTTAAGTCATCTTGAGGCCCCCTTGAAAGTTTGCTGAGGCCCTTTATGGGCCCTGGCCCGCTGGTAAAGAACTACTTCCTTAAAAGGACCATTTACATATTCTGACAGGTAAGAACTTTCTGTTCCCCCACACAATGCTATGTCTTCAGAACACCTGGAAGACAAAAATACAGTCTAAAGATAATTTGTTACCTGTTGTTTTGTGGCAAGAGAGTAACAATTCTTGACATTCTACTCTATTGTTTCATAGAAATATTAGCAGCATATGGCTTTGAAATGACATTTTGAGTGAATGATTTTTCACTATTTTGGGATGAACCATCACTTTAAATGTCATGGTTATACTTGTGCAACTGTGTTGTTTAAACATTTATTTATAGTGCCACCCAGTTTAGTACAAGCCGCTTACTGCCATTGTAAATGCATTACTGTAATGTGTTTGTTTTTAACAAACTGAGGGGCGAGTCAAGATCATTTTCTGTGGTAATTCACAGCATGCCACAAATGTAGGCATTGAAAATAACATTATTACATTAAGAATATTCTTTTAAACCAGTGGTTCTCAAGCCCCCCATTGTCCAACACAATTTTCGAAGGCCCCTATTTCTTCCAGCATTCTTCTGTTGTAATTATGACAAAGCCGCTTGTTTTAAACACTTTTTCTATTAGCAAAAATTGGGAGCCAATATATTCAATTAATTAACTACAATTAATTTGGCGTTTTTAAGAAGTTCTGTCAAGTTACCTTTTTTTATATAGCGCTTTTGATCAAAAGAACTTAATTCTGCTATAAATTAGCTCTGAAAAAGACAAGTGTCATTTTTCAGCTCACATCAGTTCAGCGTTCATGCGATTCCTAAAGTTCATCAATTTAGAAATGAGTTTTCAGCTATAAGCTGCTCTACAGAAGACAATAGTGTTGTTATTCAATTTGAGTCAGTTCAATGTTGATTCAAATCAGTCCAATAACAGTGTTGCTGTTACTAACTAAGTCAAATCAGCTATAAAGCAGCCCTGTAGAAAACAGTGATGTCATCATCCACCTCAATTCAGTTCAAGTTTTGTTCTCAATCTCATCCTAGTGTTAGTACAGTCAAATCGATAATATCCTCCTGGGACCCAAGAATAGACTTTTGTCCACTGTAGTGGACATTATATTTTAGTGAATTTCTCTGACATCATACATTGTCACATGACACAACCTAGGTGTCCTGTAAAGAGCACATTCAGGACTTTTCAGAGATACCAAACGTTTGGAGGTTTCACCATGAAAACAACTTCTCCTTGGTCTTTAAAAATGTCTGACATTAATTTAGTGATCAAATGTAGCATTCTTATGTAAATATGATAATATATTGTAATTATAATTTAAATTGGACTACTTTTTCAAATTGTATTTCATAAAACAACATCTCAGGAAAATGTTAAGGGGTTTCAAATAAAAAAATTACTTTCTGTTACAGAACAGGGCATTGATTTCAAACGTGTCCACTGTAGAGGACATCAGGACTAAAATCATGTTTATCAGGCATTCTGGGAGACACAACAAGTGAATATGGAAATAAATTATACATCAATATTCCTATGAAATATTAGATATTATAATTAAAATGTTGCCAATTACTACTCCAATTATTACACTTATTTTTTCATTAAATGTTGCTCCAAGAACACATTAATGTGCAAATTAGATACAGTGTATAGATACATTGCATTGAATGGGAATATTAATTTATTGCCATTTTACCCACATATTGCAAAAAGTAAAATGGTGTATCAATTCATTCCATTATTTCTTTCATAACATAGGTGAGAATAATCTTTATACAAATTTTGGTTGAAAAAATCCTGAAACCCCAAAATTTATTGGTGATTGAAAAAAAATCCCATTGTTTTTGCCTATACATATAATTTCATGTCATTTTATTTTTTAAACAACTTAGTCCTGGCGTCCACTACAGAGGACATAGCATAACGTATGAATAAAATATTATTTTATATATATGTTTTTTTTTACCATTTGTTTATTGTGCTCTAAACAGTGTGATGACATGGAAAAAAACTAAATTAAAACAAAAAAAAATTCTGGGTCTCAGGAGGATATTACTGAATATTATGTGTCCCCAACTATGCAAGCCAAAGGCGACTGTGGCAATAAACCCAAACTCCATCAGGTGAAAAAAAAAAAAAAAAAAAAAACCTTAGGAGAAACCAGGCTCAGTCAGGGGGCCAGTTCTCCTCTGGCCAAAACTGTATGTTCTTTAATATAAGAACTTCCCATAGAAGTTTGCTGAAGCCCCCTGTTTAAGAACCACTGCTTTATACTGCAACATCATTCACAATGACTGAAAGTGTAAACCTTGCCATAACGGTCTCACTTACATACTGATAGGAGAGTACAATGGATGTGATAATGCCAGTCACCAGGACAACCACACAAAGAGCACAGAGCAGACCCGTACAGGAGGTGAAGTCAACCTGTTCAAACACACACACACACACACAAGAGACTTCACTACAACTTGACAGCATGGCTTGATTGAAAAACCTCAGTAGTCACAAATTGTAAAAGTTCTAGTAATAGAAATGGAGATAAAAAAAAAAAAGATTTCATAAGTAAATTTGGGAGAAAAAATATAACACACGTATATAAACTGTATGAACCACAGCAAAAATCGATCCATTAAAAAACAGGGCACATAAAAAAAAACCTGGTTTTGTCTCAAGCAAGCATGAGACATTTACCAGTGAGCCATGAATGTTTAAAAAGAAACAGACGGTCATTGTAATCAAATACAATGGGGTTTATTTTACACGGCCAACAAAGTGGCATTCACTGCCGGCCAGTCGATCAGAGCCAGTCTTACCTTGGTCTGAAAACAGAAGACTGTGACGATTACACACACCATTGCTGTGATCCCCAGGGCCAGAAACACTGCTTTGGTGTCAAAATAACTGTAAATAATGCCAGATGGGGGAAAAAATTAGAGCTTATCTGGTGTTTAAAACTAACTATGCAGTGTGTGAAACTCTAATCGAACCTTGATATTGTTCCTGTCATGTAAGACAATGCAAGGGTCTGTGGAGGACAGAAAACATGTTCCATCAATTATAATGTAGATGTCTAAGAAAGCATAGGTAAATTAAATCATCACTTACAAAAATGAACAGGAGTATTAAATTCCATGGATGACGTCTCCTAAAAATGAGGCAGGGTTTCCATAATTAAATAGATATTCAGGTATAATGTAAAGAATCAAAAAATGACTAAACTCACCTCGGACCCTCACAGCAAACCAGCATGAGGTAAGTAACAAGATACACGGGGCTGTGAAAAAACATTCCACTGTTACTTCAATATAATATTCATTTAAAAGTTTGGGGTCAGTAAGTTTAAAAGAAAAATAAATCAATATTTCTATTCAGCAAGGATATATTAATTTGATCAAAAAGGAAAGTAAAGAATTATAATGTTACAAACGATTTCTATTTCAAATAAATGTTCTATTTTTTGAACTTTCTATTCTTCAAAGAATCCTGAATAAAAATATATCAGTTTTCCCAAAAATATTAAGCAGCACAACTGTTTTGAACATTGATAATAATAAGAAATGTTTCTTGAGCATCAAATCAGCATATTAGAATAATTTCTGAAGGATCATGTGACACTGAAGACTGCAGTAATGATGCTGAAAATTCAGCTTTACCATCACTGGAATATTAAAATTGAAAACAGTTATTTTAAATTGTAATAATATTTGACAATATTACTGTTTTTACTACGTCTCATCAAATAAATGCAGCCTTGGTGAGCATAAGAGAAATCTTTCAAAAATAATACTGACCTCAAACTTTTGTGTAAGATATTTGTTTTGTCATTTATTTTTAGACTTGTTAAACATTACAGTAAAATAACTCACAATGATGCCCAATAAATGGCAGGATTTTGGACCACAAAAAGACGCACAGGCTCACTGTAAGTCAGATGAGGAATGTATGCAAACACACCCATTTCATTAGTATGCATAATGTATGAAATTCACACAGCTGTTCATAAAAATTCAGTTGTTGTGTGAATTTGTTTTACTCACACAAACGCAAACACTGCAATGATTGAAGAAGTCATAAACAGCTGGGCGGCTAAAATAAGGTAAACCTGGTACAAAAGTACACACAAATCAGTTTTTCTACATGAAGCCGTTGCTTATGGCATTTATAGATTCTTATAAATCTGTAGTTCAAGTTTCGGACAAACAGTTTCAATACCTTTCTAATGAAAGCATGGCGAACACTCATGCTGTCCCATATGCCAGTCGATGAGATGCCCTCTGCATCTCCTACAACAAAACAATGAATACACACACACACACACACACACACACACACACACACACACACACACACACAAAACATATCTAGTGATAAACATCATACACAGTGGCCCAAAATTTTTCTAATATTGAGACACACAGGTCACATTTAAAAATGTTCTGTACCAGATACATGCCGTACAAATTTTAAAAAGAAATATAAGCCGTTCAGTTTTATTCATAAAGCAGACTGATGCATTTTAAGAGAGAGAGAGAGAGAAATAAAGAGAATACGTGTATGTCAAAACTAAATAGTACAAAGATTGGCTGCACTATGCAACAGGTTGCTGGAATGAAACTTGAATTTTACAAACAAAACACATAAATACAGTATAGAAGTAATAGATTTATGCAATAGGATTCACACAAGAACTTTTGTTTGATTCTTACTTAGGTTGGAGGAAAAAATTGCTGGTGTTATAAAGGATGGCATTGCTGAAGGGGAGTATCCAGGCCCAGGGCCCTGCCACAGCCCTGTCTGGGGGTTTATGCCTGGCTGTCCCGGGCCCGTGTACACTGCTGGCTGGGCTGGATATCCATAAGGAGGGTATGGATAGTTTCCATGATGCTGTGGGCCATAAGGCTGCTGTCTTGACTCTTCGTAACTTGGAGGGGGGTCTGACTTTGACATTGTGATATCCCTGAAACACAAGACAATAATGATGCCTATTTAAATACCCTCTCGCTCTCTCTCTCTCTCTCTCTCTCTCTCTCTCTCTCTCTCTCTCTCTCTCTCTCTCTCTCTCTCTCTCTCTCTCTCTCTCTCTCTCTCTCTCCATTTACACACGTATACAGAATAACATCGAAATATCCAATGCAGTCCAAGAAGTTCCATACAGTTAGCAAGCATACATAAATAATACAGTATTTACACTTTTTTTTCATTAAAAGTTTCTTAAACAACAAAAGTTATCTGTTCTTAACTGTTTTGCCAGGGTGACATTAGCATAGTCGTAATACGTATAAATAAATGTAGTAATATTTGGCTTACCACGTTAGCTGTCACCTCAGCAACGGGACTGCAGAGAGAGAGAGAGAGAAGTCGTTCGGCTCTACGTAAATAACGCAGCGGGTGATGTTGTGAAGAGCGCGAGGTGCACATTGGAGCGTTCTGATTGGCTGGAACTAAGCAACGCGGAGGAGTTGTTGTTGCACCGTCTCCAGTTTCCAGGGCACTGTCCTCGCTGGACTGTGCTCAGTATCTATTTACCGAATTAGTCTTGTCATCATCTTACCAAAATACCGTATTGTGTGACAACTGTTTAGATTTATATATATATATATATATAAACAGTTTTTTTCCGGGTTTTTTGATGACCTGAAAAGATTATCCTCACGTGACCATATTGCCTTATCTTAAAAAAAAAGAGAAAATGTTCATTCTTTTCTTTTTCTTTTTTTGATGACCTGAAAAGATTATCTTCACATCATCACATTGCATTATTCTTAAAACTTTGCGTTCAACAAGTTCAGAAGGACTTGTTTACTGTAATGATCATCATTAGTTAATGTTCTTGTAGTAAAACCTATCTAACAACAGACGGCGCTAAAACTGTTCATTTGGACACTCATGCTCATGTGAATGATCTATTTATTAAGCTTTCAAGAATAGGCTACTTTTTAAAAAAGAAACATACCATCCAAGTTTGCAAATACCTCATTGACTTACATTGTCAGACTTTCCCCATTCAGACAGCAATAAAACATATTTTGGTCCCCATGAGGAAAACAGCTTATACATATTTTCTTTCTTTCTTTCTTTCTTTCTTTCTTTCTTTCTTTCTTTCTTTCTTTCTTTCTTTCTTTCTTTCTTTCTTTCTTTCTTTCTTTCTTTCTTTCTTTCTTTCTTTCTTTCTTTCTTTCTTTCTTTCTTTCTTTCTTTCTTTCTTTCTTTCTTTCTTTCTTTTTTTGTATGTAAACATGCAGAGAGTTTTCAGATGATGGGTAGTAGGTTTAGGGGTAGGGTTAGTGTATAGAATACAGTTTGTACAATATAAAAATCATTATATCTATGGAAAGTCCCCATAAAACATGAAAACACAACATGCACTTTTTTTTTGTAATTCCTGGCTGCATGGCTCTAAATTATGTGGGCAAATGTAAAGTATAATAGATCTAGATCAGATTGAGATATACATTAGATTAGGAAATAAAATCCAAAATTAGATACGTCATGTCTTAATGCTCATTGTTTAAAGCATAAGATTGTAAATAAAAAAAGGAAGAAAAAAAATCATTTTCAGCATGCCGTGGGTTAAAGAAATTATGAAAATTTATGAGTGTGTTCTATGTAACCTCTATCCCTCCTTATAATTCTGCATTGGCATGAAAGAGTCTGAAATGACCAGAAGAGGACCTGCTTATCAGAGTCCTGCAGGAGTCAGAAACGGCCTCTATTCACATATGATGTAGGCCTACAAGCGAACCCCCCTTTTTTCTCAGTTTACTGGACAGAGCATCAAGATTGAGCATTTATTTGCACATCATTCAGCATAATGCTTCTGATACACCACAGCACAATAAATTATCCAACCAGTTTTTGCATTATACTTTCAACAAGAAATAACATAGGCTAACTTTTAGAACTATTTGAGTAAGAGATAACAATGAACAGGAACTCGAAAAAAGAAAGTACACAGAACACAACCATTAATAAAGAGCAGGAAAAATGTATATTGTGAAGGGAAATTATTTTTGTATGTACAATAATGTAAAAAAAAAAAAAAGAAATAATAAACTTATAATATGTAGGCCAAACAATCATAAGTGATAGAATTTTTATTTTTATAAATAATAATAAAAGAAAAATCAACTATGTAATTCAGATGTCTTGTTTATCTGAATATTTTGTCCTTAATTATACAGGACAGTTAGGATTAGGATGACTTTTATTTTGAAAACCTCTTTTATTTTGAATCTCTGGCACTTCAGGAACTGTCGCGGTGTGTGATGTCTTTTGGTTTTACTCATGGTTTTACTATACTGTCATGTTGATTACCTTGGAATTGGATAGATAAAATATTTTTCTTGTATTTTTTTATTTATTTTTTTGCACGTTGATGCAATAATGTAAGGACATGTATGCATCAAAGTGATTTTCTGAAGGAGCTTGAGTACTTAACGTTACCTCTTGCTCAACTAACTGTTAACGTTACCCGTTTAACGTTACTCCAGTCCAACGTCAACAATATTTTTTATAGCTTTTTGGTTTTGTCATATATGTAACGTTATATATAAGAAGCAAGTAAGCATGCTGAAGGCTGTCATTCTTATCGGAGGTCCTCAAAAAGGTGATGTCCCTCACACTCGAATCATTGAATATTGTGTGAATGGAATAACTAACGTTAGACAAATATAGAACACACATTCAAAGGACTCATGCACAATTCACCTGGTATAGTGTGTATGTGTATGTCTAATAGCATAATCAGTGAATAGGTGGATGTTTTATTGGTCTTACTGTTTATGACTATAATATATACACAGATGTAGGACTCGTTCTATAATTGGAGGTACATATCAACAAAAAAAGTACCACAACAAAATGCTTTCTCAATAAAATGACTATTGGTTTCAGTTTATGTATTTCATCAGTGCAATATATCTGGTAGTTGCCAAGTTTTATCATTAAACATCATTTTGAAATGACAAGGGAAAGGATGTGTTCCCTGGTTAATTTGTCAACTTTGTTGAGGATAAACTGTATGGCTCTGATTACGTGTTACTCTTCAAGTATCACATGTATTTAGGGCCTCTTTTATCGATTATATTACAGTGATTGTTATGAAGTCATATTTTGATACAGCAGATACTGTCACTAAATACAGGGCATTTAAAAAATATATATAAATCTGCCTTAAAGGTATTTTTTTTGTTGTTTGTCATTTTAAGAGATGTTATGCATAACTCCTAACCTGTGTGGATATAAAATGTACCCTGAAAGAATAGAAGCAGCATTATCGTTATTTATACCCACAAACTCTTTGTCTGATATTATGCTTTCCCTTAATGCATAAAATATGATTTTTGTGAAGAAAATTGTTAAAAATATATAACTGTTATCATTGGACATGAAATGTAACCTAAATTAAATAAATAATTCATAAATATAGAGTGTATGATTTTGTGAATTATGTTTATTAGAGTATATGATTTTGTACTTTCCTGCTGTTCATACAGGGACCCGGTTTCGCCCTCTTTCTTTTGAGGTGCCCAAACCTCTGTTTCCAGTGGCTGGAGTGCCAATGCTGCAGCATCACATTGAGGCCTGTTCTAAGGTATATATGCTCGGTTCATATAGCAATAAATAGATGCTTTATTGAGTCCTGTAATGCACTTGTTTAATATTTCATACATTGTTTGACCTTTTTTCTTCTAAAGCTTCCGAATATGAAGGAAATCTTACTCATTGGCTTTTATCAGCCAAATGAAGAACTTAACAGATTTTTGTCATGCGCCCAACAAGATTACAAAATATCAATAAGGTAAGTTACTTAATTATATTATGTTTGTATCATTGGAAAATCAGAAAAGTTCCTTTAATCAAGTCTTTCATTTATATTGTCCTAAATCTTCCTCAGATACCTTCAGGAATATGCTGCTCTGGGCACTGGAGGAGGAATCTACCATTTCAGAGATCAGATCCTGTCTGGCGGTCCAGAGGCATTTTTTGTCATGAATGCTGACGTGTGCTCAGAGTTTCCTCTGCCAGAGATGCTTGACTTCCAGAAGGAGCACGGAGACGCTTACAGTTTCATCATCCTCGGCACCACTGTAAGGAGTTCTTGTGTCTTGTATTTACGTTTTATAATGCAGACCTTTCCTGGGCACAAGCCACAATCAAACAGGATTCTCACTTGAGTATTAGCTTGTTTTTAACTTAAGGTTTGGTAATCGATCCATGATATTTTGCTATGATTTAGTGGTTCTTGAAAATCTAATGAATAAACTTAAATCTGATTGTTTTAGGCCAACAGAAAACAGTCCCTGAACTACGGCTGCATTGTTGAGAATGAAAAATCGGATGAGGTAATTGAGCTTTCAGTGTGGAAGGATACATTTGATATGTTGGGGATTTCAAATATTTACTACAGTTAAGATTTAATTGATAATGAATAAAACATGTTTACATGATAACAAATAAGATCATAATTGTCTCATCATATCCCCCAGGTCTTGCATTATGTAGAGAAGCCCAGCACATTTGTGAGTGACATAATCAACTGTGGAATATACCTGTTCACTCCAGAGATATTCCAGCACATCGGAGAAGTTTTCCAGAAGAACCAACAGGACATGCTGTTGTGAGTGGGACGAATCCTGTAGGGTTCTTGAGTGGAAGTGCATGTTTACTTAATCCATTTCTTTTCCTTGGTTCTCTTCATTTGTCTTTCCCCCTCCAACTCCTTCCTGTCTGCCATCATTCTGTTTCCTGTTCCATCATCAGATATTCGTATGAGGGGTAAGTTTGAACTGTAGACTGATTAGGAGCAAGTGTGATGTCGGTTTTGTAGTGAGCGCACCTGCTTGTATGATCTGTGAACAAGATTCATGTTAGCATGTTGTGGTGTGATGATAACGACACGACACGCACGTTTTTTTATACCATCATGAATAGGCTGTTTTTCAGGTTTGATCTCTGAAATCCACTTAGAACTGAATCCAGCAGAACCGCTGCCTGATACAAAGTTTGTTTTAATATTCTTTCATCCAAATTGAATTTTCTTTGCCTCTGAAACTACTTTTCTTTTTCTGTTGACTTAACCAATTTCTGGTGGATGGGAATAATAATATTAACCAATAATATAGCCTAACAATCAATATCCAGTCAAATCCTAATGGTTAAAACGAAGTCCTAACCTACATTATTTGCTTTATCAGCAGCCATGGTTCCGGAACAATTTTTTTTTTACCATAGGGATTTAGAGTAAAGCTAGGGTTGGCAATTTCGGCAATAGCAATTGCAAGCTAAAGCTTTGAAAGCATTAGATCTCACCCTCCCTTCAGAGCGCTCTCTCCAAAGCCACTCCTCCTTCAAAACTCATGAACACACAACCAGAGGTGAGTCTGCAAAGTGTCATGAGAGTCACATGATGTTGACGTGTGATGTCTGTGCTGTAGGACAGTCAGGTAGGACATCCTATTATTGCATCCAAATGCAATGATTGGACGAATAATTTTTGGTCCTGAGACTTCCATAGAAGATATATGTAAAATATATATATATACACTCACCGGCCACTTTATTAGGTACCCCATGCTAGTAACGGGTTGGACCCCCTTTTGCCTTCAGAACTGCCTCAATTCTTCGTGGCATAGATTCAACAAGGTGCTGGAAGCATTCCTCAGGGAGTTTGGTCCATATTGACATGATGGCATCACACAGTTGCCGCAGATTTGTCGGCTGCACATCCATGATGCGAATCTCCCGTTCCACCACATCCCAAAGATGCTCTATTGGGTTGAGATCTGGTGACTGTGGAGGCCATTTTAGTACAGTGAACTCATTGTCATGTTCAAGAAACCAATTTGAAATGATTAGAGCTTTGTGACATGGTGGAAGTAGCCATCAGAGGATGGGTACATGGTGGCCATAAAGGGATGGACATGGTCAGAAACAATGCTCAGGTAGGCCGTGGCATTTAAACGATGCCCAATTGGCACTAAGGGGCCTAAAGTGTGCCAGGAAAACATCCCCCACACCATTACACCACCACCACCAGCCTGCACAGTGGTAACAAGGCATGATGGTTCCATGTTCTCATTCTGTTTACGCCAAATTCTGACTCTAACATCTGAATGTCTCAACAGAAATCGAGACTCATCAGACCAGGCAACATTTTTCCAGTCTTCAACTGTTCAATTTTGGTGAGCTCTTGCAAATTGTAGCCTCTTTTTCCTATTTGTAGTGGAGATGAGTGGTACCCGGTGGAGTCTTCTGCTGTTGTAGCCCATCCGCCTCAAGGTTGTGCGTGTTGTGGCTTCACAAATGCTTTGCTGCATACCTCGGTTGTAACGAGTGGTTATTTCAGTCACTGTTGCCCTTCTATCAGCTCGAACCAGTCTGGCCATTCTCCTCTGACCTCTGGCATCAACAAGGCATTTCCGCCCACAGAACTGCCGCTCACTGGATGTTTTTTCTTTTTCGGACCATTCTCTGTAAACCCTAGAGATGGTTGTGCGTGAAAATCCCAGTAGATTAGCAGTTTCTGAAATACTCAGACCAGCCCTTCTGGCACCAACAATCATGCCACGTTCAAAGTCACTCAAATCAACTTTCTTCCCCATACTGATGCTCGGTTTGAACTGCAGGAGATTGTCTTGACCATGTCTACATGCCTAAATGCACTGAGTTGCCGCCATGTGATTGGCTGCTTAGAAATTAAGTGTTAACGAGCAGTTGGACAGGTGTACCTAATAAAGTGGCCGGTGAGTGTATATATATATATTTAGACCACTTCTATTATTAATTGCCCTCAGGATGTGAAGAGCGTTTTACCCAGTATAACAAAAAGTGTTTATGAAAAACATTGCCTACAATAGCTTTAAAGCATTATGAGTTATGAACCACGAGGTCGACCACAACATTACAAACTTTGATTTGAAGCAATACAATAATTGAAAATCAGACAAAATCATAAAGGTACAAGACTGTGTACTTAACAGCTTTAGTCCAAATGACATAAAATTAAAAACGATTATTTAAAAGTGTTCACTATGTATATAGAAACAACTTATTTTAAGTTTATTGCAAAACATATGTACGTGCATATAAGGGGTATAACAATATATGGTGTCACAATATATCACAATACAAAAATGCAACAATATGCATCGTGCATGGTGGCAATCTGTATATTGTGAATATTTCACCCAAAATAAAAAAATACTGTTTAAGAAAAAAAATGTGGTTTATACTTCTGGAACCAGACTGTTGCACTCTACTAAATACTCTGATTTCCTCATAAATGTGACACGTTTTCATGTTGGTTTTAACACCCTGCATATGCAGCATTTACCTTTAATTTTCATTAATTCATTTATTCATTCATTAATTTGTACCTGTTTAAATGATCCTTCTTAATTATGACTGTCCATCATAGTGTCATTTTATGTCATCCTCTGTCCTGGATATTAGAGAAAGTTTCCTGACATCACCAGAGGGTGAAATGAAGACTTTTATTTACTACTATGCATTGTGTGCTGTTCTCAGAGAAGAGCAGTCCAACGGCTGGCATCGGGCAGAGGTGATCCGTCTGGAGCAGGACATCTTCACTGCACTGGCAGGACAGGGCAAGCTATATGTGTACAAAACAGACCGCTTCTGGAGCCAGATCAAATCTGCAGGGTTAGTTCCTAAAATATGCTGTATCATTCGACTTATGCACTGATTATGTTCTCTGTAACCACATTTGATAATGTTTGTATTATTATATTTAATGTTATGCCCTCCCCTCTGTCAGATCTGCGATCTATGCAAGCCGCTTGTATCTTAACCAGTATCACAAGACACATCCAGAGAGGTTAGCTACCAATACAGATGGAGGGCCGAAGACCAGAGGTAAAAGCTTTGTGTAAAAATGACATTTTTATGTCTGTAAAAGCTCTTCATGCAGTCCTTCTAATGCATTTTTTATTTTATTTTAGGAAATGTTTATATACATCCAACTGCCAACATTGATCCAACTGCTGTAGTAAGTGTTTCTCTTTTATAGTTACATTGATTAGAGTTTCTCAACACAATACATTTGCAATGTATTAAACATTTGCAACTTGCACTTCTGCGTAAAATGGGATGTTCAGCAGGAAATGTGCAAAATATTAGCAATAAGTATTTGATTTTATCTTAAGTATGTTTGCTTTGATATTAACGTGCTGTCAAATCGATCAATTGTGATCGCTGAATCGCATCTAACATAAAAGTTTTTGTTTACATAATATGTGTGTGTATTATTATATTTATATATAGTATACATATGTCTGTGTGTGTGTGTATATATATTGTATATATACTGTATATATATACACACACACGCATACATATTTATACATATATACTGTATATATATATATATATACACAGTATATGTATATATATACACAGACATATATATATATATATATATATATAATATATATTAATTTAATAATATATATACACACACATATATTATTTAAACAAAACCTTTTGTTGGATACAATTAATCGATTTGACAGCACTAATATTAACATAACATTATTTTATCTGTGCAGTCTTGGTCATGTCAAAAGAAAAGTCATCAGTTCCCTAGTCAAGTGATTATTACATTTTGCCCAAACTTTTTACTTCGAAGGGCCAAAAGTCAAACTTGATTGGGGGGCGTGGGCCATAAGTACAGTCAAGTGTTGCATTATATCCAACAATTGTATGTTAATATTTAGATTTTTTTTAAATCAAATGTACAAATATTTTAAAAAAAGAAGAGAGAAATGACAAATGAATTAAAGTTTTCGCCAATTTTACAAGGCATGACAGACACGGGCCCTGGTTTGTGCATCTCTGCTTTAGAATAACATGCACTAAGGAATCACACACAGTTGGACCCAGGTCATTATTACTAAACCATATAGGGTCCATTTTTGGAGACGACGGGGGAAACTTGTTCGTCATTATTTTAGCAATTTCACTTAGTGATGTTAGTGGCGCAGAGCTTGTTGTGTGCAAAATATTTTTGGACAGTTGACTAAATAACCTGTAATTCATGTTATATTGGTGTTTCTTTTCCCTTCAGTTAGGTCCAAACGTGTCCATAGGAACAGGAGTAACGATCGGCGCAGGAGTTCGTGTGAGGGAGTCCATCATCCTCCATGGTGCTACTTTACAGGTGAGTTCATGCCACTTTCTCTCCGTGTTGCTTTGTCTGGCAATCGAAACCAATGACTCGTAGAAACATAATTTACAGTATACTGACTGTGTCTTCTGTAGGATCACAGCTGTGTGTTGAACAGTATTGTGGGCTGGGGCAGCACTATTGGCAAATGGGCCAGAGTAGAAGGGACCCCTAGTGATCCGAATCCTAACGACCCGTATGCCAAAATTGACAGCGAGACACTCTTCAGAGATGGAAAATTAACACCCTCCATTACAATTCTAGGTAATTTTATAGGACACCATCATGAATATATTATGTTTTTTTTGTGAGTGATTTATCTAAACACATACTTCTCCCTCTGTCTCATCAGGCTGCAATGTAAATATCCCATCTGAGGTCATCATACTCAACTCCATCGTCCTGCCACATAAAGACCTCAACAGAAGCTTCAAAAACCAGATCATACTGTAGTTTCAGTTTACGGCATTTGCATACAAATCTACAAAAAAACATATCTTTGAAATGAAACATTAATAATGGATGAATCATCTGAAGATTCAGTATTATTCATGTAAAAATGTCTGGTGCACATGGATTTACCACCAGTGTCATCATGTCAAACCTGGAGAAAACAAATGCTAAAATAATTTTGCTACAGAAAATCACTTTGTCAATCTGTTTCTGAAAAGACTTGAAATGTATTTTATTTACAGCTTGTTGGCTCCCTTGTGTCAGTGAAATGCCAAAGAAAGGTGCAAAAAAGGCAGTTTATTTGTGCACTCTGTTACCATTTTGTTCCAGCATTTAACATGTCAAAAATGGTAAGACAAATGGTAAAATCTTGTAATTGGATACCAGTCGTGTTAGTAATTGTTTTGAATAATTTATGTTTCTGTGACTGCTCTCTGTATGAAAGCCGAGCACAGTGCAATAGTTAGACATCTGCAATAAATTACATTTTGATTAAGTCACACAAGGTAATAAATTAATTTACTGCTGCCCTTGTAGAAAATCACAATGTCTGCATTTATGGTTAAAAAGCTACAAGACCATCAATTATTTTTCTTAACCTTGAAAGCCCAAGACAAATTATTCAATTACAGACATCACATTAATAATAGAAATAAAATGCCCAAAAACATTTTTGAAGTTCGGAAAGAGTTCAAATCTCCCAGAGCTTTTATATTCATTCTTACTGCCTGACTTCTGAGGGCACTAATGCAGACATTGCCATCCACATGTGACTTATACAAAATACACAAGACATGGATTCATCTAGTTTATTTCAAATCAATATGTCACCGTGTTTATACCGCCTTTAGATATTTTCAAGGACATTATTTTTATACATGATTATTACAAAAACATTTAAACCCTTTACAAAAACAATACAAAGAGTGTAGTCTCATGTTTCAAGGTTCTTTCTTTCTGGACAGACTTAAATTCATAAGAAAAGTTATTTTCCAAGATAGTATATAAAGTGCTAAAGAGTTTAATTTCGTGTGGTAGGGAAAAAAACAGTTCAAGCCAACCGAAGCAAAGTGTCCCAGTGCAACTATCTGGCACACATTTATACACACACAAATCATTTGGGGGATGTGAAGAATTTCTTTTTTCCTGGTTGATCTTTTGGTTTGCTTCTAGAAAGGAGAGAATGGTTATGAAAGCATGCAATACTAAGCTCAAGACCAATACAATAAAAGTTGCATGAGGATTAGTAGCTTACGGGTTATTGAAAGTGCCACCAAAGTGCTTGATCCGACCCTTGATTGAGCCGCCGGGTGTAGTTTTAGAATATTTACTCATCTCAGGAGAGGTCAGAGGTTTGAATATCTTATCTGAAAGACACATTCAGGAACAAAGTTAATGATTAAAGGTAAATGCATCTTAAAAATACAATCGGATAAGATCACGAGAACAATTTTAATGGCATGAAATTTGCAGTAAGTGAGCAGTTTAACTTTAACCGACTGACTTTTAACTCAACACATGGTGGATAGTAATGCATGTACCTCTGCTAGTGCTTGGACCGACATTACTGACGTTGGAATCAACCACAGGAGGGACAAGCGGATCCTTCTCAGCTAGCAGGCCTTCCCAGAAATCTGAGGGGAACGACAGTAACCGAGCCACTACCTGTTGCAAAGAAGTTAGAATAGGTTTATTTCTTGAAATATAAGCAATTGGATCACATCCTGATTTTCTAGCAACTCACTTTGGGTTGTGTGTTTGTGTCTCTCATAATGGTCATGGGAGAAGGTTCTAGCATCCCATGACCAATGATAGTGGGGCCAAACACTCTGGACAAGTTATTCTGATCCATCTGACACAACGGACTTTGCATTACCCTGAGAAACAACATGAATGCGGTTGCAAAACAAGTAAGCATGCTTAAAGTATACGAAGGCAGAGTTGCAGAAATATCTAAATTAGAGCATTTTACCTCTGCAAATGCAGTATTAGGAAGGCCAGGGTGTCTTTGTTAGGCTTCGGCAGCTCTTTGATATTCTTTATTATCGTTTCTACGCTCTTGTCTTCATCGGCCATCTCTACGAGTGAAAAAATGACTGTTTTGTCGAGCCAGCCACAGTATCAGATTCAATTACGCTCCATTACAAGAGCAATATATCCGATATTATAGGTGAATTAAATCACTTTATCAACTTTTCTGACTTTAAGGATATCAGTTTTCAGTGAGCAGGAACAAACACCTGTAGGAGCGATGCATTATGAAGGACTTTCTCTCATTTACATGCTACAACCATTCCTAGCCAAGGAAATTAGACAATGTGACTCTCCCCATGAAATCCAATCCAATTTATAATTTAAAAGGGAGGTACTTTACCCTGGAGTCATCCTGAATCTATGAGGGCTAGGGGGAAAAAACTCCATAATAATAGCAGAAGCACCCTGACTGCTCCTAAATCTGCCACTTACCCTCCATTCAGCAGCGGCGACTGAAATTAAAACGCTGAAAAAGACAAGCGCTGGTTTGAGAGATAACGTTCGACATTGATTGTTTCCGAGTCATCAGGGACTTGTCAACTATATCACAAGTAATGGGAAATAACCATCCGCCCTAAATGAATGAGGGTAGCATACGTCCTCGTGCCTCAGGCATACACAAGCGCCAGACGCTTGTTATAGAATCCACCCTCTGCAAAATTGCAACCATTTTGGATAATATAGTCAGACTGCTCAAAGAATACAAAATTGTGAAAGTCAAATTGAGACTATTAATGTCAGGACAAGATAGGTCTCCTCACAGTATTACTGTTTTTACTGTATGTTTGTAATCAAATAAATGCAGCCTTGATGAGCAGAAGAGACTTTTCAAAAACATTCAAACAAATCTTACCGACCCCAAACTTTTGAACAGTAGTGCATATTTAAATTTAAAATGTATTCCTTCTCGATAACATCATTATTAAGAAAACCTACCAGAAGCTTCCATAAATGTTTTGTGAAGCTTAAATGTTATAAGAGGCTCCTTGAGTTTCCTCAGGAAGTCTTTGAGGAGTCCACAGACAGCATGGACCTCTTCTACTTTGTGGAGCATCATCAGGCCTTTCCCACACATGTACTTCTCCCTCAGTTCCTTCACCAGTCGCTCTCCTCCCGGCACTCTGTAAATACCCCTCTACATACCGCAGTCAGACAGAAAATATCAGTGAGATAGAGAGAAATTTCATACATCAACTGTATACACTGTAACTGGATGTTGTAATGTACTGCAATATGATTTGAAAAGATTTGTTTCTTAAATCCAAATTAAAATCAATTATACAGTGCTATGATTCAAGCCCTGTAATTATACTTTCAGCTTGAGAAACTATCCCTGTGTTCGTGCATTTAAACACCTCTTCAAGTCCTCTTCTCTCAATTTCATGAACACACTGAACAATCAAAGAGGGAATCCGTGGACGTGTGGAGGGGGCAAAGCTCTCTAATGTCCTCTATAAAGGAGGGGGAAAAACGAAAATTTGAACATTTCATCTTTACATAAGGATATACATGTACACTACCACAGTGTGAAAGGTGAATACCTCATTGGGCTGAGCTGAACCGTGAGCATTAGGGCTGCACTTCTCCAGACATAGTTGTTTACACTCAGGATGGCTCACCACTCGACAGTCTCTGCATTTTACGGCCATCTTCCCAAAGCGAATCCTCTTTCCACATGGTATGCATGTCTCTGGACGAATCACCTAGAAAATATAAAAAAGCGGTCAGTCGCAACATGCACAGTGCCATCAAACACAGACCCTGTTTACACCTGGCATTTCTCTCTTTACTTTTTATAATTATATTTATTTGAAATAATTTCAAGGTCAATTTATAGTCCCCTGCCCCTTACAATTTAAGGCTGTATTACTCTGACAGTTTAATAATAATAATAATAATAATTATAATTATTAAAAACAAAACAATAAGATGTGCAGTGCAGCATGTTAAGGTCAGATTGGTGTAATCATGGGTCTTGTTATTTTTTTTTTACCTCAGCCATTTATTTTAAACAATAGTGAACTAGAAACAGGACGTTTGGCAGACTTTCCTTATTGCACTTTATTTTATACATGTATGCATGTATTATATATATATATATATCATTATACACTCACCGGCCACTTTATTAGGTACCCCATGCTAGTAACGGGTTGGACCCCCTTTTGCCTTCAGAACTGCCTCAATTCTTCGTGGCATAGATTCAACAAGGTGCTGGAAGCATTCCTCAGGGAGTTTGGTCCATATTGACATGATGGCATCACACAGTTGCCGCAGATTTGTCGGCTGCACATCCATGATGCGAATCTCCCGTTCCACCACATCCCAAAGATGCTCTATTGGGTTGAGATCTGGTGACTGTGGAGGCCATTTTAGTACAGTGAACTCATTGTCATGTTCAAGAAACCAATTTGAAATGATTAGAGCTTTGTGACATGGTGGAAGTAGCCATCAGAGGATGGGTACATGGTGGCCATAAAGGGATGGACATGGTCAGAAACAATGCTCAGGTAGGCCGTGGCATTTAAACGATGCCCAATTGGCACTAAGGGGCCTAAAGTGTGCCAGGAAAACATCCCCCACACCATTACACCACCACCACCAGCCTGCACAGTGGTAACAAGGCATGATGGTTCCATGTTCTCATTCTGTTTACGCCAAATTCTGACTCTAACATCTGAATGTCTCAACAGAAATCGAGACTCATCAGACCAGGCAACATTTTTCCAGTCTTCAACTGTTCAATTTTGGTGAGCTCTTGCAAATTGTAGCCTCTTTTTCCTATTTGTAGTGGAGATGAGTGGTACCCGGTGGAGTCTTCTGCTGTTGTAGCCCATTCGCCTCAAGGTTGTGCGTGTTGTGGCTTCACAAATGCTTTGCTGCATACCTCGGTTGTAACGAGTGGTTATTTCAGTCACTGTTGCCCTTCTATCAGCTCGAACCAGTCTGGCCATTCTCCTCTGACCTCTGGCATCAACAAGGCATTTCCGCCCACAGAACTGCCGCTCACTGGATGTTTTTTCTTTTTCGGACCATTCTCTGTAAACCCTAGAGATGGTTGTGCGTGAAAATCCCAG